TTTATGTATTTTATTCATAATTTTAATAAGAAATGATAAAACCATCAAAATATTGTGTGGAGAAACTAAAAGAGTACAAGGATGTGCTTGGTTTTTTTTTTCCTTCTAATTTATAAAGGGTGCGTTTGGTTCACGGAATATAAGATTACTAATGAGAATAAAAGATTACCAGTGAATAGGATTACTGGAAATGTTATTTTTTTGTGTTTGATTGGTTTAGCATGAATGTAAGATTATCGTGTTTGGTTAAAGGAATAAAAGATTATTGGAATGTATATTTGACCAAATTATCCTTATTATATATTTGTTTTTTTAACAAGTTGGAAAATATTTATATATTTTCTTTTAAAAATTTAAATTCATAAAATTTATATAATTTTTTTATAAAATTAAAAATATAAAAAGGTTTAATGAAAGGGTAAAATTTTATTTTAACCCATGAACTTCATATAAAATTTTAATTATAGATTTTTTTTTTGTAAATTTAAAATAGTTTAAGGATAAATTTGTAATTTAACTTTCGTAGAATTTTTATTATTCAATGACAGAATAAGAATATTTTTGAAAATAAAAATAAATTAAGGGTATTTTAGTCCAAAACGTTGGTAATCTAACAATACCTAAGGAAATGGAGGTAATGACATTACCGGTAATATACCTAAAAAAATCCTCTATTGGTAATATAAGATTACCGGGAATGACATTCCCGGCCAACCAAACGGAAGAATATAAATTATATTCTCATAAAAATATCACATTCTCCCAACCAAACACAGCTAAAGGTTATATCTAAAGTACCAAATCAGAACCATCTTTAATGCTGATTAGAAGCTTCCCGTGGCTTATTATAACATTATTCCCCCATGCACACAGCTTTGGACCGGATTATTTTAATGGGATTTGCTCATTAAAGTTTGTGGATATATATAATAATATATAAATTGTTTATGTATAAGATCTGAGAATATTTATCTCATCTTTAAGATTTGAACTCACATTCTATTTTTAAATGTATAATATGTCTCATCATTATAATTAACACTTTGATAAAAACAAATATAAAATTATTACTTAAAAATAAATTAGGATACATTCATATTTGATGTAAAATTTTTAATTTTAAATCTTTTAAAATCGTTTGTGTGAAAATAGACTATTCAAATTATTTCTTTATTTTCTTAACAGTAAATATCTTCTATTTTTTGTTATTAATCTAAGTTGTATTTTTACTCATATAATAATTGCAAAAGAATTTAAAAAGTTTATATTATATAAATAGATTTATTTCTTCAAGAATAAAAATATTGACATGAATATTGATTTTAAATTTAAAAATTCTTTTAGTAGTTTTTTTAACCGTCGTTAATTTTTATATTGATCGTCGTCTGTTGATATTTATTATCTTTTTATTTTTAATAATCATATCTTTATAATATATTTTTATGTCTTTATGGCATATTTTTTTATAATTTGACTGTTATTTTTTTATTATTTTTCTCAGGGTTGGATTTGACATTGTCACGACTGATCAAAATATGTTTATTTGTTTTTTTGTTGATCTTCCATATTTTGGATACTCACATTAGTTTAGATGCACGATTTGCATTTGTGGACAGCTTTTTTACGTCACTCGATTCTAATTTACAGTTTGTCGGTGGTCTTTTAATAACTTGATCTCTTTTTATGATTTATTTTTTGATGCAATCAGATTTGTTCGCTACCTTTTGTTCGAGTTTATTTATTTTAAGGTTTTTTAAACTTTTTCCTCGTATGATTTTATGTAATCTTAAGTTATTAGTTTTCTTATGTTAATGATTATAAAAAATACTTATTATGTATTTAGTTTATTATTGTGATTATAAATCTTCTATCTTTATTTTTTTTTAAAAATTAGCTGTTTATATATATATATATATATATATATATATATTTTAGTAAAACAATATCGTTGTTGTTGGCGCCAACTGGATTTGTTTTTTTTGGTTGAATGTGCGTTTGGAAATGACAGAGAGCTTATCTCCAAAGAAGAGGAAAGCAATTTGGGGAAGCTTATCCCGGTGGTGATGATCACCAAATTCTGAATTTTCTAGAAGAAAATGTCTATCATGAATTTAATTAATTTTAATAGATTTATAAGTATTTATCTATAAATCATAAATTAATTTATATTTGTTAATTAATAAGATTTATTGTTATAATTCATTGATAATGTTTGAGATTCATTCATTAATAAACTGGATTCTACGAGAATGAAAAGTTTTTTTAATGAGTCTAAAACGTATTATCTAAGAAATTATGAGAGAATAAAAATAAATAGCTCAACTAATCGACCAAATATAGTTACTTTGAATTATGATCGATTAGTGATGTATAGACTTATGCATTAACGGTTAATCAAATATAAATTTATAAATATAATACAACATAATTGTTATATTAAGAAAAAATAAAGATAATAATATTATTTAAATTTAATAAATTTTGATTTGATATTATGAGGTGGACTTATTTTTTAAAAAATTCGATAAATATATGAAGGATAAATTAAAAATCGAGACACAATCAAATTTAGAGTGTACTTGCACCAACTTACCTCAAAATAATTACTACTATGATACATAATAAATATTAAATTTTTTAAATTTCTCTATTTTTTTTCTTTATTTCACATCGTTTTCTATTTTCCTTTGTTTGTTTTTAATCTAATTTTTATTTATTTATCTTGGAATCGGAAGGACAACTAAAAAAACAACTCTCCTTTCCTTCCATTACCTCAAGCCATTGCCTTCTCAATCTATGAGTCGTTTGATTAAAATTACCGAAATATAGTATTATTTAATATAATTATTGAAAACATTATATTATCTCATTTTGTTTGTTTAATAGGAATAGAAAATTATCGTGTTTGATTAGAATAATATAACATAAGAATATATATATATATATTATCAAATTATTTTTTAAATATATTTTATTGTTAACAAGTTGAATCTTCAAAAATAAAGTGAAACTGTTCACATAAAAGTTCATAAAAATATAATTTTTCTATTATTTTATTTTATATTATATATTCTTTTGTAAAAAAATTAAACAAATAATTTAATATATTATTATTATTTATTTCTTTAAAAATATAAAAATATTTATATTGGTGTATATATGTATGTATCTATTTTTATGTATCAAGATATTAGGAGATGTGCATATTTACATCAATATAAATATATGTTTGCTTTTACATTTTTCTTAATTTATTTTTGTTAAGTGTATGAATTATACAATAAAATAGGGTAAAGTACAAAAATGTCTCCCGATTATAGAATGTTGATTTATTGAGTCAATTAACTATTAAAAGTTATAAAATGATGTCATATTACTTGATACTATTTTATTGAGTCATTCTACTATTAAAAGTTACAAAATTATCACCCGACTTTTCATATATTCTAAAATTATCATTTTTCGTTAAAGAATTTATGGTCGTCTAAGTTGGAAGTTAACATGTTGATTGTGATATGATAAAATCCGATCCCAAAGCTATTTAAGATATATTATGTGGATCGACTCTTCGTTTACATTATGTCGTCGAGCTAGTTCTTAAAACATTATGTCTTTGAGTCAGTGCTTGAAAGAAACAAAGGTACATGTAGATATCATTAAAATATGATTTTATCATATCTCAATCAATATGTTAACGTTCATTTTAGACGGTCGTTAGTTTTTTGATAGAAAATGATGAGTTTTGAATATATGAATAATCGGATGACCGTTTATAACTTTTAATAGTCGATAGACTAAACAAAACAACATCCTATAATTAAATGATGACTTTATAATCTTTAATAATAGAATGATTTAACAAAACGGCCGCTTATAATCAAGTTTGATTGGTGTCTTTTATCCCAAAAAATTAGTCTACAAGTATGGACTTGAGCTGCCAATTTGTTGGGTAAAACCATAACCAACGTCTAGTAAATCAATAGAAGCACAGGCATGGATAGAGATGGCAAACGGGTACAGTTTCGTGGATTTCGTATCGTATTCGTTCTAATTGGAGCAGGGATGGGTATAATTTTAGCGGGTAGTGGGCGGGTGTGGATTTATAAAGTAGTACCCGTCGTGGATGGTGGGCGGGTAATGGGTTTGAGACATTACCCGCCCCGCATCCGCCCACCCCGCATCCGCCCGCCCCACATAAATATCTATTAAATTTTGGATCATTATAAATTTAGGTATAATTTTAGAGACTAATTTATAAATTTTAATATTGTATAATATATAACATATAATTTATCCAAAATATTAAAGATATTTAGTCTTTAATCTGGTCTTTAATTAGGGAAATATTCGGCTCTTTGATTAAACCCATAATCACACTAACCACGTCACTTTCCATGTTCTTTAGCCCATGTTGTCCATCCAAACACAAATTAGCCGTACTATAAACATTAACATCAAAAGCAGCAGTTTCCATGTTCTTTAGCCCCTCAAAACCCATATTAGGCGCACTATAAGCATTAACATCGAAAGCAACACAACAATCCAGCTCTGCGACTACATGCTCCCTACAATCTGTCTCCATAACATTCGTAGAGCTACTCCTCTGACAAATTGAAGCATGCGCTGCTACCCCATCACGAACTGTCTGAGAACCAACTCCAACATCCCATTAGTTTGCTGTCAGGCGGGTCTAGATGGGTATGTCGTTAGTGGGTAGTGGGTGTGGGTATGGATTTGAAAATATACATGCGTGGGCGGGTGTGGATTTGAAAATTTGTACCCATCATGGGTGGTAGGCGGTTGATAGATTAAAAAAATATTAGGTGGATATGGGGATGGGGAGGGGTATCCGCACCCGACCCGCCCATTTACCATCCCTAGGCATGGACTTCGGCGTGGGATTTTGGTTGGGCTTTTTTGGTGTTCCAGCGTGTGGGATTTAGCAGTTCCATTTCCCCCACGACGTTGCTGATGCTGAGCCACAACTTTTAGCTTTTGCTTTGGTGATTTCCATTTCTTCTCATCTCTATCCTGGAACTGCTTCTATTTCCAGTTTGAACGACAAGTTAACATCATTTCAATCTCTTTACCAAAGAGGAAGGAATTTCTGTATTGGATGAATGTAGTCAGAGCTCGTAAAATGTTCATTCTCTTACTATTTGTTTATTGAAGAATAAGAAGGTAAAAACCACATCTTTGTATTCAGAAATGTCATCTCCTTTACTCTATGTATCTGCTGCTCCAACCCACCAATCCATCCCCACTACAACCCTTTCTCGGGATTCATGGACCCAATCTCTCAGAGCCGATATCCAGTCCAACCAGTTCCATCAAGCCATTTCAACTTACGTAAACATGACTGCCTCCGGCGTCCCACCTGATCACTTTGCTTTCCCCGCTATCCTCAAGGCCGTTGCGGCTCTTCAAAACGTGGCCTTGGCAAAGCAGGTTCACGCTCACGTTCTTAAATTCGGATACGGAGCGTCCTCCGTCCCTGTCGCCAATTCCCTGCTCAATGCCTATGGTAAATGTGGGGACATTTGGGATGTCTACAAGGTGTTTGATAGAATTACCCAGAGAGATACCGTTTCTTGGAACTCCTTCATCTCTGCGTTGTGTCGGGTTGACGACTGGGAGACTGCATTAGAAGCATTCAGGTTAATGCTGTTGGATAACGTGGAGCCTAGCTCGTTTACGTTGGTCAGCATTGCACATGCTTGTTCAAATTTGCCCAGGCATCATGGGTTACGTCTAGGAAAGCAGCTTCATGGATTCAGCTTGAGAATGGACGATATCAAGACATTTACTAATAACGCATTGATGGCTATGTACTCGAAACTAGGACACCTCGATGACGCCAAGTTGTTATTCGTGTTGTTCGAGGATCGTGACTTAGTAACTTGGAACACCATGTTGAGCTCCTTATCCCAAAGTGATATGTTTGTAGAAGCACTACTGATGTTACGCGGCATGGTAGTTCAAGGTATCGAACCTGATGGTGTCACAATTGCAAGTGTGCTTCCTGCTTGCTCACACTTGGAGCTCTTGGAAATCGGGAAACAGCTTCATGCGTATGCCTTGAGACATTATATTCTGATCAACAATTCTTTTGTTGCTAGTGCTTTGGTTGATATGTACTGCAATTGCAGAAAAGTTCAAAGTGGTCGTCGAGTTTTTAACTCCGCCATGGAGAAATCAATCGCTCTTTGGAATGCTATGATCACTGGGTATGCACAAAACGAGCATGATGAGGAAGCCTTGACGCTTTTCATTGAAATGGAAGCAGCTGCGGGTCTCTGTCCCAATGCTACCACAATGGCCAGCATTGTGCCTGCATGTGTGCGCAGTGAGGCATTTGTTCACAAACTTGGAATTCATGGATATGTTCTAAAGAGAGGTTTGGGAACCGATCACTATGTGCAAAATGCACTTATGGATTTGTACTCTAGAATGGGGAAGATAAAAATTTCAAAGGCTATATTTGACAGCATGGATGTTCGAGATATAGTGTCTTGGAATACAATGATAGCCGGTTATGTTTTTTGTGGGCAACATGATAGTGCACTTCTTCTGCTGCATGAAATGCAAAGAGTTGAACAAGAGAAGAATGGAAGTTCTTATGAGTATGAGAAAAGAATTCTTCTTAAACCTAATTCCATAACTCTTATGACAGTCCTTCCTGGTTGTGCCACCCTGGTCGCATTAGAAAAGGGAAAAGAGATCCATGCTTATGCAGTAAGAAACATTTTGGCATCAGATGTCGGGGTCGGAAGTGCATTGGTTGACATGTACGCAAAATGTGGCTGCTTGAACATATCTAGAGAAGTGTTTGATATTATTCCCTCTCGAAATGTAATTACCTGGAATGTCATGATCATGGCCTATGGCATGCATGGCAAGGGAGAAGAAGCCTTGGAGTTGTTCAACCGTATGGTCAAGGAAGTCAAGCCTAATAACGTAACTTTTATCGCTGTATTTGCAGCATGTAGTCACTCAGGGATGGTAACCGAAGGCTTAAACTTGTTTTATAAGATGAAGGGTGAGCATGGGGTCAAACCTACACCGGATCACTATGCTTGCATTGTGGATATGCTTGGTCGAGCAGGTCAAGTTGAGGAAGCATATCAATTGATCAATGACATGCCTTCTGAATTGGACAAGACTAGCGCTTGGAGCAGTTTGCTTGGATCCTGTCGGATCCACCAAAAAGTCGAAATCGGGGAAATTGCAGCTAGGAATCTCTTCCGCCTAGAACCCGATGTGGCAAGCCACTATGTTTTACTCTCCAATATATACTCATCTGCTCAACTATGGGGCAAGGCAACGGAGATTCGGAAAAAGATGAAAGAAATGGGTGTAAGGAAAGAACCAGGGTGTAGCTGGATTGAGTTAGATGACGAGGTTCATAAGTTTATAGCCGGTGACGCATCACACCCACAAAGCGGACAACTATATGGATTTCTCGAAACCCTCTCAGAAAAGATGAGAAAGGAAGGGTATATGCCTGATACTTCTTGTGTACTACATAATGTTGATGAGGAGGAGAAAGAAACTTTGCTTTGTGGGCATAGTGAGAAACTGGCAATAGCTTTTGGCATTCTCAACACCCCTCCAGGTACCACCATTAGAGTTGCAAAGAACCTTAGAGTGTGTAACGATTGCCATGAGGCTGCTAAATATATCTCAATTATAACAAATAGGGAAATTATACTAAGAGATGTGAGGAGATTCCATCAATTTAGGAACGGAAGATGTTCATGTGGGGATTATTGGTGAAAATGATCCCCCATCCCCCAAGGTCACTTTTGCTCTCAAGAGAAATATTTCTCTGAGGCTGTACACTATCTACAAATATACCTTTTCTGACATATTTTGTCCATTCAAAGGCTCTCAGGTTTTCAACATGGGAGAAAACGGTTAAGTTGAATCATTGTTGGCAAGAACAAAGAACAATAAATTATCAGTCATTAACACAAAAACACTATGCATGCTAATGTCTGCAACAAGAAAAATCACCGCGAGGTGATTACCATGTGTATACACCCTATAAAACGTAATTGCTCGAACTCATAATATTTAGAGAGAACACCACCTTTTATTATTGAAATCGTTCAGTGGGTTCAACTTATGCTATCACCATATGTATACAAGTTTTGCATACTTGAATTATTATTAATATTATAATGTATATTTCTCTGTGTTGGAGAGATTCACTCACATTAGTATAAAATAAAGTAATTTTACACACTTTAATAATAAACTATTAATATTCTAACAATCCGATCGTTGAATTTAATAATACAACTATATTTTTTATGCATGCAAATTTTTATATGAATAGGATAATTCAATCGTATTGATCCACAATAATGTCTATATTAATATATATTTAACAATTGATTTTTTTTTATAAATCAAATAGTTATACACTACAAATTTATTTGAAACTTGGTACACCTGATCCATATAAATAGAATATGAAATACAACAGTCATACCGTTAAAATAGTAACAATATTAAAAATTATTGAAGCATGTAAAAGCAATCTAGTTGAATATGTTAATGAATACTTTTTCAGTTACAAATTTAATTTAATTTTTTTTAAGATTTTGAATCGGATCTAATTTAAAATTGAGTCTAATCTCAGACTCAGTGTCTTGAACTTGAATTTTCTTGAACTCAGATTTTTCGGACTAAATTATAATGTAACTATACTTAAGTTATTTTTTAAACATGAATCCATTCCAATTTAGATAGAGACAATAGCGGACTTCAGAGTTCAGACCCGGGTCTATTTTACCAACTCTACATAAAACCCATTTTTATAAACGTAAAAACTCCATTCCTCAGTTGGCTTTGTTATGTTTTAAGAAGCTGAGCTTTTAGCTTAGCAGCCAGCACCAAATAGCAAAGCAAAACGAAGATGGAGATGGAGAGCCAGAAGCCCTTTGAAGTTGACGTCGGAAATCTCCTAGCTTTTAACCCTTTTCACATCTTCCTTTCCCTCCCCACTTCGAGGTTCACTCTTTTTTTTGGGTAGTAATTTACCTCAAAGAAGCTCCTTTATTTTGATTTCTGGGTTGTTCTGTTACTTCTTTTTTTTGTTTTTCGTTTTTCTCTTTTGGGTATGTTTTTATTGGAATCATGAGAAATTTCCAGGGGCGAAGGAGAGTTGAAGCTGTTAATTTAATCCATACGCGTTTCCTTCAAACTTGGTTAAGTTAGTCTTTTCTGGACTGCCCTTTGTATATTTGCTTATTTGATCCGTAGATAATTGAAATTTTGTGTGTTGCTTGATCTTTTGTAGGGATGAACTAGTTAAGGAATGTTTAGATGAGGGTACCAAGTTAGTTCAAGCAGTTGCAGATACTCTTTTTAATTTGCCTTCAACTGAAGATGTTGATGGACCCCTTGTTAAGCTGCCTCTTCCAACAACAAAACTTCTCTGGACCCCTTGTTAAGCATGTGAGCCTGGCCTTTTATTTAATCATAGTATTATGCTAGTGAAATAAGCAATGCTTTTTACTTGGATTCCTTTTAGACTAGCGTCTTCTAGCAAACGAATCAGAATATTTGTGTTTATGGGATCAAATGGGTTATGGCGGCTAATGACGATACATCCCGAGAGTCGTAGCGATGAGAATCGGCCATTGGCCAGTGTCAATGAGCTTTGTCTTCATTAATCGGCTATTGAGGTTACATTCCGTCTCTCGATCATGATTGAGAGGTTTTATAGTGTCTTTAGTGCACGTGCTAGTAGTAGGGTCATAATAGCTGCTCGTAGGTTGGCATGCTAAATGAATACATTTAGGTGACGGTGGATTTGGTTCTTGTAGGTCACATGAGCTGTCAGAGGCGATATCAATATGTTATGGCTTCCCAAAATTTAGATCTTCAAGATCCTTCCTCTGGAGACATCCTTTTATGTCTTCCGGAGGTCCCTAGGTGGCAGAGATTCGGAGATGCTTCGAAGTACTTTGGAAATCCTTTATTATGGAGCTGATATGTGGAGGGTCTATTAGCGGGGTACAACAATTTGCTTTCTCGCATATCTAGTTGATAACATGCCATGAGAACTGAACAGCTTTGTTTGGTTGTGTTTTCAGCTTCCAAAGCCTAAACCTCCTACGAAATGGGAGGAGTTTGCTAAAAAGAAAGGTAAATCATTTTACCTATCATCTAAAACTTCTATGGCTTGTTTGGAGTGAAACATAATTTTTCATTGTCTGAAGGTTCTCTACTTTTGCTTTGTTCTTTTTTTTTTTTGAAATATCTTGTACGTATAAAGAAGCGTAAGAAGGACAAAGTTGTTTGGGATGAGCAGACTGGTACATGGAAGCCTCGCTTTGGTTATGATCATGTCAATGATGATAAAGACGTACCCATCATCGAGGCCAAGATGACTGATGGTGAGTATCTGTTTGATTGTTGCCTTAGAGAAGAATGTTACCTATATTTGACTTTTTAATTACTACTACTATTCTTTGCTTTGTAAGTTTACCAGTATCCAAGAGGAAATAGTGGATGTGTTTGATTCTAGTTGACCATGATTTTTGCTTTTTGCAGAGCCAGAAATGGACCCATTTGCTAAAAGACAAGATGATAAGAAGAAACGAGTCGAGAAGCAAGAGAAGAATTGCCTCCAGAACTTGAAGCAAGCTGCAAAACTTGGTGCTTTGCCGAGGTCTTTGCCCACATCCCTTATATATATGTAGAAATTGTCATTGTTATTTAGAAGTAGAAATTTTACCTCTCCGATTTCGTATAAGTAAGCCACTTCTTATCTTATTCTTCATGTAACATTATTAGTCCTTCTGCCTGTAATTCCCATTCTTGGCCAGCATTCCCTTATTCCTTAATATCCGAATTGTTTTACCAGTGCAAGGCTAAGCCTACGATTTTACAGACCATGATGTGTATAGGGATTTGTTATAGGTATCAATGTGTTGCCGGAAGTTAACTTCGATTTCTTTTCTGTAAGCACAAATTTTAGTCCAAACTGCTCTAGTTCTTCATGAGAAGATATCTGACACGTTATATCAGCTTGCATTTAATAAACTAGATATTTGATTGAGTTTTAAAGCTCGTCGCGCACTTCTTGTAACTTCTGAGAGGATACACATTTTTTTGTTGCCAGAATCCTTGCTTTCTTTTCGTGTTGCTGGTTTAAAGCTTTTGGCGATTTGTTATCTTTCCGTTAAGTTGATTTAACTTTAAATGGTTTCGCTGCAGGATTGTTCAGCTTGCTGCAACGGCTCTGCCCATAACAGGAACCCAGGCTCCACCTAAGAAAGTTACTAAAGATGAATTGGGGACGTAGCTGGGATGGCTGCTACATCAACGGCCAGTGGCAGGAAATTCGATAGGAAGTTGCCCGGAGAAAAGCCTGCTAAAAACCAAGGAAAGCATTGCAAGGTTCGAACTCTTGGACATCTTGGCCTATGTTTCAATCTAAAAACTTCCTCTTAAATTATAATGGCATGCTACGATATTTCCTCTGCTTCTCTTCAGTTCTTACCAGTCGTTGAAGGATCAGGGATAGGCTCACGAGAGAAGGAGCAAACCGAGAATGTCATAAACAAGCTAATCTCTAAGCATTCCCATGAGATACTCAACGTCGACAAGGTAAGTTCGAACCATGCAGTTTGGTCGCACCTCTTGGTAAATTTGTTGATATAATCTGAACCATAGTTTTTTTTTTCACCCCTGAAATCAGGCTGTTACAATGTATAATGTGAAAAAAGAGAAGAAAGCTAGGAGTCGAAAGAATCAAGAAGGGAAGTCATCATCGACCTCGAACAAGTTGAAACCGAAAAAGCAACTTCATAAGAAGGCTGCAAAGAAAGGCTCCGGGCCATCGAAGAAAGGGAAGGCAAAGTAATATTATTAGTTGTTGGAACATTTTGGTAAGCTTGTAGAGATTTGGGTTAGATTCTGTCAAAATTTTATTTACTAGAAGAACTATAGAATTATTTGTATCAAGAACAGGTTTAAGTCTTTACATTAACTGTGCTCCGCTTATTGAATCAGTTCAAGGTCCAGGTTCCCGGTCCAATTCGAAATGTATGTTCGAAACTTGGTAGGGCTTGGCTGTAAGTTTAGGAAATAAGTTAGTTTTGATAACAGCGGTGATGCTGCAACCTTAGTTTTAAAAGGAGCGCCTAAGGCGCCAGGCGCAGGTGGGCGCCGAAAAAATCCCCTCCGGTGGCTCAGGCAAGGCAGTGAACGGCGGGTGCGCGCTTTTCCAGATAGCTCAGGCGCAGGCGCTTCTGCGCCTTTGGGGGAGGGGAAAAATTAATTTAAAAAGTCAGTCCCCTGCCTCCCCCGTCACCACAGCGCAGCTACCACGCCGCCGTTGCAGCTGCCAGTCACCGGCTGTCAACCACCAGGTCATCTCTCTTCTCCGTCTCACACACACACACACTGTTTTTTTCTTTGTTTTTGTTCATTTCTGCCAACCAATTTTCCCTAAGAAATGAAAAAAAAAAGGGGGAAGCAGAGAAGAGTTCTGCCAGCCGGCTATATATTATAGCCAAGTTGAGTGAATTATAAACATTTAATGCACTCTTTTTCCATCTTATACAAGTATAGTAATAAATAATAGTATTAATCTCATCTTCTTTTCCCAATATGCTATTTAATATATTATCTTTTCCCCATATATAACAATAACTAATAGTATTATTATCTTCTTTTCCTAATCTACTATTTATTACATTATCTTTTCCCAAATTATACTGTAATTACTACTTAATATATTATCTTTTACCTATATTTTGTTGAATTTAATTTATATTATTTTGAACATTTATCAGATGATTATGTTATTAATATTGAGTACTTATATTAATCATCATTTTTTGTTTCGAGTATAAAATATGTTATATAATTGATTGATAGATTTTTCTAGTATAGAAGCGTGTCTCGCTTATGAAAGGCGTGTGCCTTCGCCCTACGCCTAGACTCCGGAGATCCTTTGCACCTCGGTGTGTCTTGCGACTTTTAAAACTAAAGCTGCAACTGCATTCAACTCGAAATGTTTGTTTGTTTGAAACTTGGTAGGGCCTGGTTGTAACTTTGAGAAATAGGTCGGTTTCAATACGACGGTGATGCTGCAGCCGCATTCAACGGCGAGCTACACTGAATTTTCCACCGGTACGCCCAGATATAAAAGATAAGGCTGAAAAGATTTTAGAAGTCCCCTCCTGAGGTAAAGTATAAAGATTATCTAAATCTTGTGGCAACCAAACGCAGCATCTCCTCTTCTCATAATCTATGTAGAATATAGACAAATTACAACTCATTTTCGAATTACGTCTTATAAACGATTGGTGATAAAAATTTTCATTAGAAAGAATGAAAATGAAATGAATGAATGAATGGAAATATGAGAGAATAAACTATACTTGGTAGGAAAAATATGAAAAGTGAAGGAAAATTATTGTTGATTTTTTTTATTAGTATAGGGTGATTAGAAGATAATATTTGTTTGAAAATTTATTAGTCATTTGACAATAAACGTTCAAACACCTCTGCAATATCGTGCTCGAATCAAAGATTTTTAAAAATAATCATCATCTTTTTAATTATTGAGATTGTTTGATTCATGCTTCGTTGATTTAATATCAAAAAGATTTTTTTTTCAATAGAAGAGTATTTTTTAAAATTAATAAAATAAATTTTAATAATTGAGGTTGTTTAACAGTCAATATATATTGTTCACGTTATATTTTCAAATTGAAATTATGATATGATATGTATATCATTTAAAACGATTATGTGATATATATCATATCACTTAAAATAATAATGTGATATATGTCATGTCAGTAATTGAATATATATAAAAATAACATATCAATTATATGTATTGAATCAACTAATTATTTTTATTTAAAATGATATATTTTAATTAAAATTTAAAATGTTAAGAGTTAAAATTACCCAAATAAAAAATAAATAATAAAATAATCATTTTTACAAAAATTAAAAATTATTTTACCATCGTACTTCATTTATTTTATCTTAGAAAATAGCTATTTAAATAACTCAATTCAGATTTAAACTTTCTTCTTCTATTCTACGTATTTGGTATAATAATACTTTTCATACAGATATTTTCGTTCCAACATTGAGGTTGAACAACTGCCAACCCTCGTGAAATTGTGACCGTCCGTTCTTTTCCACTTGCAGCAAAGGAACTTGCCTTTTTACAGCCAACAAAAGTTTCGGTCCACACTGCCTCTTTAGTCTTCATTCATCACCAGCCACCATAGCCACAGTACAGATCTCTCTTTCTTCTCCTCTCCTCCATTTTCGCCATTGGAGGAACACATAGAGAAGAAGAGAGGAGAGAATTCAAATTACCCGTTGTTCATTCACCTCTTCTTTCTTCTTTTCCTCAGAATTTTCTTCCTTTAATATCAGTGTTTCAGAACGAGAAAGGCGGTTACTTTCTTTGAACTTTGAAGCTAAAGACTAAAATGGCTGAACACAGTTCACCAGTTCTTGGCAACAAAGATATTATTTTTATCGGTTCTGGTATAAAGATCGAATGTTGTTTTTCACAGAAAAAAGTTTCTTTCAAACCACGAGGGTGTTTTGCAAGTGTTAACCAAGCTGGGATGGGGTTTGTTATCTCACCAAAACCTCCTATTCCTCTTGAGAGCACTGCAAAGCTTCATTATGCAAGTCTCCATGCACAATTTGTTCCACATCTGGTGTTGGATTATGAACTTGAAATTGCTGAGAGGTTGGTGGAGGAAAGGAAGGAGAAGAAGAAGAAGAATAAGAGTGGGTTTAAGTTGAGGATTAAGGTTGAGAATGAGTCATTAAGGCGGCTACTGAGTGGAGCAGTTGCCGGTGCGGTTTCAAGGACTGCTGTGGCACCATTGGAGACCATAAAAACGCATTTGATGGTGGGGAATTCTGGGAATTCTATGGCAGAAGTGTTTGATAAGATCACCATGACCGAGGGATGGAAAGGCTTGTTTAGAGGCAATTTTGTCAATGTCATTCGAGTGGCTCCGAGCAAGGCTATTGAGGTCTGTGGTTTAGCCACTTTCATTTTTATGCTTAAAGACTCTGTTAAAATTGTTCACCATGACACTGAATTGCTTGTACTGCTATTGTGTCTGTGTATGAACGCTGATCTCTTGCCTTGTATCAAATTGTTTTTCGCAGTTATTCGCATACGAGACGGTTAAAAAAAGGTTGACACCTGAACGTGGGGAACAGCCGAAACTCCCTCTTCCTGCATCATTCATTGCTGGTGCCGCTGGCGGAGTTTGCTCGACTTTGTTGACATACCCTCTGGAGTTGCTGAAAACTCGTTTAACCGTCAATGTAAGCATGAACTTTGGGGGAAGAAAATAACTAATGAGCTTAATTTCTTCATGTGAAGTATCTTTACCAGTTATACCTTTGCTTTGGTTGCAGGAAGATTACAAGAATCTACTCGACGCCATCGTAAAAGTCGTTCAAGCGGAAGGCACTGGAGGACTATACAGAGGCCTTATTCCGAGTCTGATCGGAGTGGTTCCGTATGCTGCCTCTAATTATTTTGCTTATGATACATTAAGGAACGCATATAAGAAAGCTTTTAAGAACGAGGAAATTGGGAATGTTATGACCCTCTTAATAGGATCAGCAGCCGGTGCAATCTCGAGTACCGCAACTTTCCCGCTCGAGGTAGCTCGGAAGCAGATGCAGGCCGGCGCTATTAACGGAAGACATTGCCGCAACATGATCGAAGCTTTGACGAGCATAGTCGAGAAAGAGGGAATCGCGGGGCTTTATAGAGGCTTGGGTCCAAGCTGTATGAAACTGGTCCCTGCAGCTGGGATTTCATTCATGTGCTATGAGGCATGCAAGAGGATATTAGCAGAGGAGAAAGAAGAAACTCCATGATCGATATGCTCAAAAAGTCGGAATCCTTCGAACAAGGGGGTCAGTACTTTTAGATTTTTAGCATCTTGTGGTGCAATTATATCTATATACATACATATACATACATAGGAGAGTAATTGATTTGTTTTATTCTAGTGATAACAGTGTTTCTGTTACATATAATCACTTTACTCCGAGCTCTTTCTTGAACTGCAAATAGAAATCATAAATCTTGTGAGGATGAGGCAGGGCCATTGAAACACTCGGTTTCTCTTGGCATCTTTGGACCCATGCAATAAGCTTGGGGCAGCTTTCCTGTATGCTAAAGTTTCCGCTCGTCTCGTAAGTGTAAAACCAGCTGGTGAAGGGCAGAAGAGCCACATCGACGAATCCGATGCTATCACCCCCGAAGTGGAGCTTGTCTCCGAGCTCAGTTTCCAATGTCTTCAAGCATTGAATCAGCTTCTCCTTCACTTCCACTTGGTCCTCTTGTCCTATATATACCCTCTTGCCAAGGTCATATATCTGTAGCCAGTGCAACCACCAAAATCACAATGCGTCCTAGTAAACATAAAAAAAATAAATATCGAAGTACTCACGTATTTTTCGACATAATCCGCCCAGAACAAGGCTTGTGATCGTTGATAAGGATCGGAAGGAAGAAGTGGCGATACGTGATTCCAGACTTCGTCGATATACCGGACGATGATGAGGGATTCACAAATGGATTTTCCATTATGAATCAGCACAGGGATCTTTTTGTGAACTGGGTTGGTTTGTAGGAGCAGGGGACCCTTGTTGAGCAAGTCTTGTGGCTTGCACTCGTGCTTTATCCCCTTCTCCAAGAGGGCTAATTTAGCTCTCATGGCGAAAGGGCTTGCCCAAAAATCAAGAAGAACCACTTCATCCGCCATTTCTTATCTTCTTCGTGCAGTTGATGGGAGGAGGTTAAGGCCAATTTATAATTGTTGAGGGCAGCAATGATGTCATCGCTTACTTATTTTCTACTGACTAAATTTTCACATTTTAGGTTCTTTTAATATATTTTTTTGGGGTAAAATACATTCTAAATCATTCTACTATTCATTCTATTATAAATGAGTTTTCTCTGTTACAACGTTTATTTGTTATCCGATTGATTGATTAAGATGACATTTATTTGTTATCATATTGATTTTCGTGATTTGGATTCTAGGACAAATTTGGATATGTAATTTGTGTTCGGAGATAATTTTATCACGACGCTCGACTCTGATTCATAATTGACGATGGTCTTTCAGCAGTTTGATTCCTTGTATAGTTGTAAACTATCATTGTAGTTTTGGATTTTTCTTTTTTAATCAAACTAACGACTTTTATTTGCATAAAAAAATATTATTCTATTAAAAAATAACAAGAAAATACGTAACAGTTTGGAGGAAGAACGAACAATTTAAACGAATAAATATTAAATTGATAAAAAATTTAAATATAAATAGTTAACATTTGTTAAATAATTTTAAATTATGATTAAGTTAATATAATGTATGAGTTTTGAAAATTAAAATTATTATTATATCAAGTCATATTATTATTCTATGTAATATTTGATAATCAATTGTATTGTTTATAATAATATTTTAATTGATTGATTGATTAAATTATAATTTTTTAAAATGAACCATTTATAATTTTTTTATTTAATGAACTATTTATAATTAAACTAATAATAAAGTGATTTGAGGTAAATTTTATCCTTTATTTGACAATCATTAGTTCAAAGGCTGCAAGCTTCTTTAATGTTGATATAGTGTGGAAATTATTGAAGAGACATAAACTATAGCGTAGCATATTTGACTGAGGTGCATTCAGTCAAGATGCAACTTGCAAGAGTGGAATACGTGAGGTATATAAAGATAAAATACCAACTCTAATCCAAAATTATAATATTAATTAATTAGTTAGAAGGGTCCATGTAGTAGGTGGTAAATTGAATTCAAAATTGAAACACTCGTTTAAAAGTATAATAATATTGTTTGGATCTTCAAACATTAACTTAAATATACAAAAAGGTGTACCGTCTATTTTTTTAGTTTAGTGCATAATATTTATTTCGTTCTAGTTTTTCAGCCATGACGGACCGTTAGTTTTATCCGTTAAGTGTCACGTTTCACAATCTCGTAAGTTTGAAATTTATATTTTTACAAAATATTAAAAATATTATTATATTTATAAAAATTCTTTTTTTAATTACAAAAAAACCTCAAAATCCCTAAATCTTAACACTAACACGCCGTCGTCGCCTTTTCTGGCCACGACCATCACCGCCAACATAGTCCTTGTCATCATCCTAATTATAAGTTGTCATATTTGTCGTCGATTGACCGTCGATTTCGCGGGTAAAAATGTTGATTCGCCGTCGATTGGCCGTTGATCAGTCACGATTTCATATGGGTTTTGGTCACCGAGTGGAGTTGAGGTCGGGTGGAGCTTCGTCGATGGCAAAGGGTGGCAGTCAGCTTGGGTTTAGGGGTTAAAATGAAGGTTTTCAAAATTTATGTGTTTTCTCTTTTTTAAAAATATTTTTTTTTAATTTTATATACTTTTTAAAATTATTAGATTATGACACGTGTCACTTAACGGAGGAAATTAACGGCTCATCACTGCTCCCATTTCGAGTAACGGAATAAAATGTTAGACACCAAACTGGAACGAAATAAACGTTAGGTACTAAACTGAAAAAAGAGCATAGATTGATCACCTTTTGTATATTTAATTCTTAAACGTTTAAGGGTAAACTATACATTTAGTGCATAAACTAATATTTTGGTATCTAAATTTTATTTTTGTTTAAAATCATATCTAACGTTTAGTTTAAGTTTCATTTGGTACCCCACCGTTATAAACTTAAATGTGATGTTAACGTGTCACCGTAAGATAATTTCACATCATCATTGAAAAAATAAAAAATATCACATCAGTAATTCTATTAATTTTTTTTAACAACATGGTATCTAATTGAAACTTAAACTAAATGTTAGGTATGATTTTGAAAAAAATAAGTTTAGGTACCAAATGAAAAAAAAGTAATAGTTTATCTATTAAATGTGTAGTTTGCCCAACATTTAATTATGTTTTATTAATTCAAATTTGAATTAAACTTCAATAAAAAAAGAAAAAACGATAGTTTGTTAATATATTGGAATAATGCCAAAAATAGCCCATAATGTTTATCAAAATGATCATTTTGACCTTTTTAAAAACATTTTGGTCCCTAACATTTTACTTTAGGGAAAAAGTTCCATCTATAAGTGAAAACTATTAATTAACACATGATTAACACTCCAAAATAAGAGTATTTTTAACCTAAAAATGAAATGTTGAGGGTTTAAATGCCCAAAAAAATAATAAGGAACAAAGTGATTATTTTGTCAAATATTAAGAGTATTTTTGCCCTAAAATAAAATATTGGGGCTCAAAATGCTCCAAAAAATATAATATAGAGATAAAAGAACTATTTTGATAAACGTTGAGGGGCTAATTTTGATATTATACCTAATATTTTTCTATGAATGGAATGAAGGTATAAGGAAAATACGAGAGTATGTGTGAAAAAAGGTGATCCAATGATCCTCACTCATGGTTGAAGAGTATTTTTAGAGTAACTTTAGTTGATAGCGTTAGGCATTGTTATTGTGGTCACTTGTGAATCAACAAACAAATTGAATTTGATAGTCGAGTCTCAAATTTTGTTCTGATAGATTATGTTGGCTTATCATAAGTCTTATTTATCTATTGTAACTGGCTTAAAGATTATGATACTTTTGTGCTCGTAGGACATGAGTTATTTAAAGACATTAATAAGTAAAAAGAATATTTAAAGATGATATAGAGTTAATAATTTACATAAGTCATCAATGAATATATAACAATATCATATTGATATAATAAAACTTTCTTTAAACAATATTTTTATAAGTTTTTTATCCGAATTACATAAATAATTTTGATGTTATTTATTTGTATTTGTGTTATAAATACTTAGAAAAATAGTCATTGCATCAACAGTTTCTCGAGGTTCAGGTTCTCGAGGGCGAAAGGAAGCAAGAACAAAGGTTCCGTATATTAACCAAAATTTTAATTTGTAATATTTAATCCAAATTTAATTGTGATTCTATTGGTTAACTTTTATGAAATAAATAACTATTTTTAATTGTAGAAAATTTCACTAAATAAATTCTTTAGTGGTCAAGTAATAAATTTTGTTAAAAAAAATTTATTCAATTTTTTATTTCTTTATTAAAGTACGGAATATAATTCTCATGTTATAAATATTGATGTACATACAATGAACTCGATATTAACTCGAGCTACTCTTTGGAAGATTAGTTTCTATCTTAATTTTTGTTTTAAGTCCTTCTACAAAGGGCTCATGTTTTTCTTCGCAGGATAATACTCACATCCTGTATGGCTCTAAGGAGACGCAAGGTTATGAAAACCTCTTCTAACGATGTTCGAATGACGAGTAATTAAGTTTATTGCTTTGTATGATTATATGTTTATATGTTGGTGTTTGTTTGTACTTAGATAATACATTAATCTCTACAGTTTATCATTTTTCTTTCTTTCTTATTCACATTATTTAGATGTAAGATTGATTCGACAATCATATTTAATTCTGACATGTATGTGATTTCCGTAATATGTTTATCAAAGTTTTAAACAATTTAATTATTTGATTTATTTTCAACAATCACTTTGGTAACTAATGTAATTTTTATTATTTGATCATAATTTTTAGGCCGAACGATAAAATTACATTTTATATTTTATATAAAAATAAAAGGATTATTTATAATTATTTTCATCTCGTCTACTTGAGTTTCAAATCATTTGTACCTAGGGATTGACATGGGTCGAGTTTTCGATTAATTCAACCCGACCTGAAAATATACACCATCAACCCAATCCGAACGCAACCTGAACAGAAATAATATATTTGTTTAAAAATATTATTTTTATTCAATAAAAATATGAATTTAATTGAAAAAATATTTAGAAGGTATTATTATAATTTTTCTTAAATATAAGATAAAATTATATTTTTTTGGGTCGATTTGAGTCCAGTTGTGTATTTTTCACCTTAAACATGAATCTAATCAGACCCAAATATAACCTTTAAAAGAACTCGATCGGACTCGATTCAAATCCATTTTTTTAAAAATCCAATCCATCTAATTGGGTCGAATCAAAACCGTTGAGTTTGAGTATCATGCCCATCCTTATTTATACCCCTTAATCATTTATACCATATCAGTACGTAACAATAACCTGTACCAATAAAAAATATGAAAAGTAATTTTAAAATGTAAAAAATATTTAAAAACTATGAATTTATTTAAGTAATGAATTATATAAAATTTAAATAGATAAAATTTTACTATAAAGTTATTATACGTTTGAGAAAAAGTCATTATACCTTTGAGATAACAAAAGTTCCCTCCAGAAATTCCTTGTTAGATGTTCCCAAACACAATAAGTGACAACTGGACACGTGTGATCCAACGGCAGGCAACAATGATTTTAATGGTTGGAAATTGTCAATAAATACCTCTTTTCTTTTTCTAATTTGGGTTCCAAATAAATGTCTTTTCACTTGTTTATTTTAAATTTTGAGGACAAACCAAAGTGTTGGTTTTATAATTTGAAAAAGAGACACGTGTAAGTATCATGTGATGGAGAAACACATAAAAATCGTATTATTTTATTAATTTCATTTTCATGGCTTTGGGTTTTGAGATTCATCGATGATGACGAACATGACGAAAGCGACTGCTGGCTACACAAATTTTCAATAGCCAGTGGATTTACTTTTGTGAATTGCCAAAACTGTCCATTTCACTATTGAATTGCTCAAATTTGGATGATTTTAGAAGGGCCTTGTCCCATCGGGGATAGAGTTAGGATTCAACTATGAAAGTTAAGTTATTTAATTTTAAAATAAAAAAATTAAAAATAATTAAATTATAAAAATTAAGAGATTAAACGTTTAATTTAATAATTTTAAATTTAATAATCTTAAAAGATAATTAAATCAGAAAAAAAAATTGGGGTCAATATTTAATTTCATTAAATTTAAAACTAATAGTGTCTTAAAATGTAATTATACTAAAAATTTGTTGAGGAACAAAACTTAATTATAATGATTTTAAAACTACCAATAACTTAAAAGGTAATTACCATCAAAGGTTAGGTCATTGCCCCTCCCACCCATTACGTGGCTATGTCCCTGGTTATAATCGAGGTGACCAAAAATAAATAAAAAGTAAACATTTTTCATACAGACACTTAAAATAATTTTATCAAAGTAGGTACTTAAAATAAATCATATTTTCATCGAGTTATTTAAAGTATTTTTATCACGTGTTAACTTTGATGAACCTAGATGAAAAATATATATATATATATTTTAGGTTTTATTTAGACAAAAATATTTTAGGCAGCTAGATGAAAAATATCATGATTTTTTTTATGTTTTGATCATTCAATTATTTTTTATTTTAAAATCATACATATCGTTACATTTTGATTTATTTTGATCACACATCGTTAAAAATTAACAATGATGATGATGTGTCATCATAAGGTAATATCACTTCATCATTGAAATTTTTTAAAAATACAATGTCAATAGTTTTGTTACTTTTTAAACATTATGATCAAAATAAAATCAAAATAAAATGTCAGATGTGATTTTAAAAAAAATTGATAGTTAGGCAGTCTTAATTGAAATACTAAATACGTAGTTTACCTAAAATACTTGTGCACTTAGATGAAAAATGTAACCTATTATTAAATTAAGCCAATTACAATTATAGTATGACCATATCCGTCTTTTCCCATAAATTTAATCATTTTCCAAAATTTCAACAAGTCCACCCTATATTAAAATATCCTTCCCGAAAGTCCCGCTGCTTCCGAATTCTGTCCAAACTTGTTTAATATAAGCTCTAAGCATTGCACGCCAATGGGAGCAACCGAGAACATCTGGACCGCCATGGAAGCAAACCAAGCCAAGCAAAGCGTCAACGGCGTTTCAACCGTTGACGATTCAATCCCTCACTCTAATCTCTCGGTTGATACCGCTCTTTCTTTTCCCCTCATGGTCCCTCGCGTCATGTTCGTCTTTCTTTTCACTTTTCCGTTTCTTGTTTTTTTTGGCTCATTTCGATCGCTTTGCTTGTTATAGTATTTGATTCTCATTTGAAAACTTCGGATCTTCAATATTTACTTCGTTATGTTTAAGTTAATTACCAGCAGCCAGCTCAAACGCCCCGAAAATTCGAATTTGTTTTGGTTTTATGACATTTTCTCGGTTTGTATATCTTTGCAGCGCGTTGTGTAACGATCTGTTTCCGAAATGGGCGAATTATAACGAGTCCTGCTTCTCCGTCGAAACAGTATCAGGCGGCATCACGAATCTTTGTGAGCACTTTGCTTTTTGATGTTTGTTATATTCTTTTATGGAAACTTTTGCTCTCTCTAGATTATCGAGTTAAATTGATTTGTAGTGTTTATATTTATTAGATCGGATTTTCATACTCAATTTACAGTTATAGCGTTTTAAATTGGAAAAGAAAAAAAAGGAAAATGAATTGTCCGTATTCCAAGATGCAGAACCAGAGTTTGGTTGTCTTTTGTGTTTATTTTATACATTTATATTTTCTGGTTATGTTTGCTGTTTTTTGATCCATTTTGTCGCTGATTATTCACTAACCATGAACAATTTAATGCAGTACTAAAGGTTTCTGTGAAGGAAGAAAATGTGTCTGTAACAGTTAGATTATATGGACCTAACACAGATTATGTCATCAATCGGGAACGTGAGTTGACGGTATTTTCCTATGCTTTTTGTTACTTTTTATTTGTAGAAAAATTTCCTTTCGGAGAATTGCAATTTTAGTTCATGGATTTTGGTAGGTATAATATAAAGTGCTAAAACATTGCTTAAAAATTAACGCAAAACTTGTCAGTGTCGTGTTTCCTGGCTCTAAACTCTGAATCTTCCCTGGAAGTGTTTTGGTGAACTAAGGTGTCAATGGCTTCATGTATATGTAGTTTATTCTAGCCAAAGGAATTGTTTATTTTTTATTTGTTTTGATATATCTTGCTTACATGCTTTTAGTAGGGTGGGCCCAAGGATATGCTAACAATTTCAGGTCAATGGGATTTAAAAAGATAGTTTCGTATCTCTTTTGGTGTTTTTCGAACTAAATTATTGCTAATTATGATGGTTCATCCAATTTTTTTAAATATTTTTTTTGGTTCTATCAATGCCTTTCTGTTTGATGACCTTTCGTTTTATTCTAAATTTGCATCTTAATTTTGTGTTTAGGCAATCAAATACCTCTCGGCAGCAGGATTTGGTGCCAAGTTGCTTGGTGTATTTGGAAATGGGATGGTACAATCTTTTTAAATGCACGTACCTTAACTCCATCAGGTAAGCATGAGAGATCTACTCTGGGAGTAGGCATTGCACATGAAGTTGTGTTCTTTAGACATCAGTTATTTGGGTGGTTTTATGCCTGCGAGCATCTTGGTCTCCTGTTCTATGCTGGCAACATCAGTAATAAAGTTATCTGCCTCTTGAACCTTATTGGTCCTATTTGGTTCATGACTATCATCAATATTCGGCCTAGATTCCACAATTAATTAGTCTCTGAGGCATTGACTTCTGTGGCAACTAATTTCTGCCATTAATACTGACAATTGTTGTACTTGAACTGCCAGTTATTGTTGGGCCTGCTATCTGTGTACAGTGTACTAATATACTTTTTACCTATTTTCCCCCTTGCCAGATATGAGAAAGCCAAAGCTGGCTTCTGAAATTGCGAAGCAACTACGAAGATTCCATCAAGTGGAAATTCCAGGTTCTAAAGAACCTCAACTATGGGTTGACCTCTTTAAGTTCTTTGAGAAAGGTTTGAGAACCAACTTATTTTACATGTTCCCATAAAAAATGAAATGGACAGTCTTCTGGTTGCAGTGGCTTTGATATTTGTCTTCTTAGTTTTGTTTATCTTCAACTTTTGGATTTTTGGAGTGTATCGCTTGTCTGGAGTTTTAACTGATTATGTCTGCTTCTGCCAATTGTCATTAGCAGCATTGGGGATTGGTTCATTTAGTTTTCTCTTAAGATTATTACCTAGCAGTATTCGATGTATATCTAACGCACGAGGCCTTCTTTTGCAGCATCTTCTCTCCAGTTTGAAGATACTGATAAGCAGAAGATATACGAGACAATTTCATTCGAGGAAGTGCATAAGGAAGCAACACAGCTGAAAGTAAGATTTCTTTTTATGGTTGGTTGATTCATCTGGTGCTGATGAATAGAAGGTGCTATGTATCTTTGATTATATGTTTTGATTCAACATCAAGAAGTCTATCCCTGTTTATGAGAGTGTCGCTTGATGATGGACCAGGAATTGACGGGCCTTCTCAATGCTCCAGTGGTGTTTGCTCACAATGATTTACTTTCTGGGAATTTGATGCTTAATGATGAACAAGGTATGTCAGCTTACAATTTTGAGTTTGTTCACTCTGCTAACCTGCCATCTTTCTTCTCGTCCTGTTCACACTCAAAGAAGGTCCATACGTGATATTCATGTTAAGGTTGTATCTATTTGCAGTATACACATATTGCATTCTACATGCGCTCATCTCTCTCCCCTATGTATCTTCTGACATGCCTAGACTGATGTTGGTGGCACGTGCACACTTTTGCACTCATATTTCAAGATGAGTTCAGTGTCCTTATCCTAGCATATTTACATATGCTGATATTGGGTTTAATTTTTGCTCTTTGTACAATCAATAGATAAGCATATTATCAGTAGCAACAAGTGAAGCAACACAGCTGGTTATGCATAACATAAGCTATATCTACAAACTATTGCATATTGGTTCTTAAAGATAGAACATTATGGGGTGATAGATCTGACAATGTTAAGTTTTAAACGGGAAGCTTGGTTGGCATAGGCATAGATGTCAATATGAGTGCAGTGCAGTGTCTTTATCCAAAGAAATTTTTGGTTGTTGATATTGGGTTTGATTGTCGCTCTAGATACAATACCTAGAAAAGCAAATATATGTAATGAAAACTGAACCAACACTTTTGGTTAGACATGAAGGAATAAGAATATCTGTAAACTATTGCATAATAATTCTTAAAAACAGAACATCAATGCATGTAGATTTGAGAATATTCCAATGCCAGTACGAGATGTTTTGGGCATAGGCTGTTAGCAGTGTGTAAATCCTGCAAAAATGTAATAGGTTTTACCAGATTTTTCTCAAAGATAAGGCCTATGGATCACGATGCCATATTTGACCTGTCTTGTGTAATTGTTGTCTATCTCCACCCAAAATAAGTTTGTGTAATATGCCTTAGATATGTTTACCACATTCTTCAGAGCATGCAAGAATCCAAGAGGGAGAAAAAAGATGAGAAAGAAATACATCCATGTGTGAGCATTTCCATATCTTATTACTTGAAAATACATCAGTTGTGCACTAGTCAGTATCCAAGAAATATTGTCTATTTTTCATCTAATACGAATACAACCTCAAAATGAGTGCACAGTAGTGTGTGGTATGACACACATTCAACGATGTACTATTCGACTATACATTTATCCCTGTAAGAAGTTTATTATTAATGTTATTGCTTACTAGAAGGTTAAAAACACTGGGCTGTCACCATGACAATCAAATATAGGAACAGGATGTCTCACGAAATCAGTAACCAAAAGACGGAAGAATGTGATATTGTGTTGGTGCCTAACTACTGGATGGAACTTAAGAATAATTTTTCCTGTTTGCCTATAAATTGTTCAATCTTTGTGTGCTGACTTATCTATTAATGTCCAGAAAAGCTCTACTTCATCGACTTTGAGTATGGGTCTTACAACTACAGAGGCTTTGACATCGGAAACCACTTCAATGAATATGCAGGCTATGACTGTGACTATAGCTTGTAAGTTTCTTCTATATTTTCTGCATTGGATGGATTGGCACCTACCTATTGATTATCGAACATGGTGTCAATGCAGGTATCCTAGTAAAGATGAACAATATCATTTTTTCAGGCATTACTTACAACCTGAAAAACCATATGAGGTAAGGATATATCTCTTGGTTATTTTTACATGTTTTCTGGAGCATTTGTTGCGAGTCTTTAGTTTGAATATTCATTACTATTTTGGAAAGGTCTTAGAACCATAGCAACTTGGTTATCAGCAACCGTGCAGACAATCACGTGTTCCTGATTTAAGACTTCAAACTATGAATTTTTTTTTAATATTGTTATAAATCGATCTTGTTTACATATTCGCCTTTAAATAGCCTTTCGTACTTACGGATATAGTTAGATTTTGTTACTTATATTGTATTTTATGTTTCCGATTTGAAAAATCTATACATTAAAGCTCCTTTTTTTTAACCACAGGTATCAGAAAAAGATCTTGAAGCTCTTTATGTGGAGGCAAATACATTCATGTTAGCTTCACATGTATATTGGGCATTATGGGCCTTAATCCAGGTATCTTCATTCCCCAACTATGCCTCTTCTTTTCACTCCCCAGAAACCATGACATTTATCTGAGTCATTTTTCCCTTCTAATCATAGGCAAGGATGTCTCCGATCGATTTTGATTATATCGAGTATTTCTTCTCGCGGTACAATGAATACAAGAAGCAGAAGGAGATATGCATCTCCCTTGCAAAATCTCACTTATCGAGATCTGGAAAAGCATAAGATTGTTGGCGTTTCCCACAAATAGCTGACTTCTATACGTCATGGCTTCATATGTCGAGCATTTTGAGTCTTTCTGTGCTAATGATCGTGTATAATATTCTCTTTGTGATTTCCCACGAATAGCTGACTTCTATACGTCATAGCTGCATATGTCGAGCATTTTGAATCTCTGTGCTAGTGATCGTGCATAATATATTCTCTTTGTGATTTGTAAGGTTTAACAAATTGGAAGAATAAAGAAATTTCGGGTGACCGTCCTAGATATATCCTTTCGTCTTTCATGATCTCGTCGGATTTCACTGCAGTTAACAGATTGGATCGAGGTGTATTGTTAGCTGGTAATCGACTCTACGTTGCTAATTAAAGCAATGTTAAGACTTGATGCTCAATTGATTTCCGAGTCGAGCTTCATGTTCAGTATAATTTCTGGATGCTCCCCTGAATTAAGGCTTGATGATTTAGATCCCAAATATGAATGATAATATAATAAGAATGCAATGTTAAATGCTTGAATGTAAAAATGCGTAAGTGTTAATTTAGAGATGATCTATAGAACAACTTTCATGAATTCGAGATTTACTTGCAACTTTAGTCTGTATCAAACATTTCTTTAAGGTTGCTTTTTATCATAAGATCCCATCAATTGTTGAATTCGACTCACCTTTAGATTGTAGGATTCCCCCCCCCCCTCCCCAAAATCATGAACGTTTTCTATTTCTAGCTACGAAAATTCTACATGTACATGCTTAATATCCAACATGTTTTTATTGAAGATTTTACACATGCTTACCATCCATCATGCTATTATATTTATTTAAAGAAGGAATTGCGTTTAACATAAAATAAAATAGCAAAAAAAGATGAACAAAAATTAGAAGTGTTGATCATATGTACTTATATCTATCCAACTAAAGGTTCGACATAGATTTAATTGGATGAACTTTTATGGTTTATTATATGTGATTGGATTTTAAAGAAAATGTACTTTAATTGTCTTTACTATCGCCTGCTAAGGCTAGTAAGGCTCTCAATCCTCACCCATTACATGTTCATATAAACCAAGTTCAATTCAATAGGACATATATCCTTACACTTGTACGAAGATTCACTTCTCAAAGACAGAACATATGCACCCAAAGTAACCTACTATATTGCACGAAGATTCACCTCATAAAGGTATAGCGTTTATTCCCACTTAAAAAGGATATAACTCAGATAGAAAACACATATTATGCCAATATAAATGTATAAAAGATAATACTCGTATTATGCTGAGTAATACTTATATAGATAAAAGAGATAGGGTGAATAGAAGATTGTGTAGTCACTGGGGGTAGGGTGAATAGAAGGTTGTGTAGTGATTGGGGGATTCCTTAATTTTGTGTACTCTCCCAAGGTTGTATTTGTTGCAACTTTAATACTTTCTGGATTACTTGACTTATCCAAAAAAAAATTTACAAAGATGTTGATATAAGAATTAATCCCATATAAAACAACCTTCAAAACTATATTATAGAAGTCTTTTATTTTCAGCGAGCAACCAATTATTGATCAACACCTTTTAAAAAAAAACAAAAACAAAGATTTTTTTTTTTTTAAAAAATGAGCATTAAAGATGATATAAAAATAATATCATATAGAACAACATTCGTAACTTTCTTATTTCTAACAACCAATCATACGTTCACACCCTTTTTTGAAACATTTTTCTTAACTTATAGACTAATAAACAAAAATCTCCAACAGAATCGTAAAATTATCTAAATCGTTTTTTAAATTCGGAAATATTTTTTTCCTCAAATAATCGGCTTGTGTTTTCGAAATCTGGAGGCAGCATTGATCATTTTGGACTATGTATAATCGAACATCTATAAGATCGCTCTTTATAAATGATAATGAACGTATGCATGCATATAAAAAAAATTAGTATTATGAGTAAATGAATCCCTCCGCATACATATCATTAATGTATGTATATTTGAAACTGCAACAAGAACCGATTATAACAAACAATAACAAGAGAGCTAAAATTCTGAGACTGCAATACCGAAAATGACAAGACACTCTTTCCAATATATCCTCTTTGTTTCGGAAAAGTAAACAGTTGAGAAACACGAGAGGGGGATGCAAAGCAACAGAGATGTGATTCACTACAAAAGAATGAACAATCATGTCTATCTAAACCATACCTCAATATCATCAGATGACCTCAAAGTTGACCGTAAGAGAGACTTTCCCTCCGGTATTTGATCGTTGTACTCGAAATCCTAAGATGCAATAACAAGGTGAATTAAGCGTTATCAAGGCAAGGTAAGAGATAAGACTAATTCATGACAATCAGCCGCATCATCATTCATCGGCACACCAACGGGAAGAAACTGTCACGAAGAGCTAAGGCAGAATCCTAAAAAAGAAACCCACTCCAGCCAATAGCTGATGCAGCCAACTATCTGTTTATATTCTATCTTCATGTAAGTCAGTACTGTGTCTTTATACCGGAACGCTTAGTCTATACGGAAAGAATCGTTTTGTGGCCTCAATGTCTCGATCATGATATGAGGGTATAGAACTAGGCCAGCCATAAAAAGTGTGAACTATACAACAAAAAGAAAGGAACATTAAACAGTTTCCGAGGGTCATATATCGGTAATGTGAAAACAACAAAATAAATGCCGTGAAACGTACCAGAAGAGGAAGGGTCAAGAAACTCCAAATAGGCCATAACGCAAAGCAGAGCCTGTATAAAAAAAGTTAGAAAAAGGTGAATGAATTTATAGATGCCACAACGAATCTATGAAGAAATAACACAATCATTTTGCTTACAAGCAAAACGAGACAAGTCCGAGCAAGGTAAGAAATGGCAAAGCAATGATGCATAAAAATTCCCACTTTTCGTCGAACCTTCTTACACTCCATGATAACATACTTGTATAAAAGAAGAGGGCAACATCCAATCCAATTCCAATTAAGCCAAGGTACAAAGGCATTCTGCACAGGAATTAAATGACATAAGATGATTGGTTTTTACATAAGCTGAATCACACCCATGAATATATATACAGTATCCCGATGTGGAGCAATGACAAACGGGAAATGAAGCAAATGTTGCAACTCATAACTAAAAGCAGTAGTAGGGCAGTAGGGCAAATCAGAAGTTAAACTAATCAATTGATGAACGAATAATGAAAATAATTTCATCACAAAATTAAAAAAAAAAAAAAGTCTCACTATCTGCTATATTACAGAGGCAATTTATCCAATGCATGTTAGATAAATTGGATGGAGCCTCAAAACAGTTAGGTTTGATTCACAGCCACAGCAGATAACTGGAAAAATCAAGAGCACGGGACAAGCCTCGGGGTGAAAGCACAATATCGTCACACAATTCTAAAGAAATATATCATTTAAGGCTTGTTATTCAACAGTATAACATGACTTATATACCTGTGTCAACCAATATCAAATAGAAAATATACAGACTTTCCAATTTTACATAAAAGTTCCACGAAAAAGAAAGAATAAATGGAAAACTATTCTAATTCAAACAGGGAAAAGATGCTACCAGTAAATATTCCACTGGCAATAATACCACAGAAGAAATCATAAGAAAATGTAAACTGCATTTCTTGCAAAAAGTTCAATATTTTTAGATCCCAGTTCTCAACAAAGCCCATCAACACCATTACATAAGAAAATGATCAGTATCACGGTAGCACTTTCTTGATAATACAACTGAATGAGGCCTCAGCCATAACTTTTACAAGGCTGTTGACACCACTCAGGACTATTGCATTTTAAATGTCAAAGGTTCTCACAGGTAGACTGTTAGTTACTTTAAAGGACGAACTTCACTTTTCTAGCAGTGGCTCAACATGTCCATAATTTGACTAACATGATGTCAAAGCTATGAAAAGGTACATAAAATGCATGATTCTGAGTGATTTCAATGAACATACATTTGGATATATGATCTCAACAGTTAAAAAGCTATTTATATCACGATTCCAAGGCACTTCAGCTTTTGAACCAATTGAAGCAACATTTCCAACGATCAGCGGAACCTTTAATTATTGTTTTATTTTTAACCAACTTAACTGAATTTAATTCCAGTTTTAACTAGCTCCAAGAACTTTGACATTGAGGAGACCAAATCAAAAATAACAATGAACCATGTGAAGGAAAACAACAGGATATTATCATTTATTCAACAGCCAAATAACAACATTCAAGCTTCATGAGCACTTAACTAACTCCAATATCTAACAAATCATACTACAAATACAATATGACTACTCTAAACCACACCAAGTTAAAACTGGATCCACTCAGTTACCTTCTGATTCGCTCATCGTGCCACAACAGATATATCAAATTGGAGTGCCTATCACCAAAGTAGATTATGAACAAAGCTGAAGCAATCCATAGCATATTCTCAAGAATCTCAGTCCAAGTTCTAGTTCTCAGAGTTTCCGGTGACAGAGGCTGTAACCTAGAACATGCATCATCTTCAAGGTCCTCATTGCCTGATGCATATCCTTGACTATGTCTTTGCCTCATATATCCACCAGCAACTGGTGTCCCACCAGACATCTTTAATCCTCTCTCAAAAGATTAATACCCCAAAAAGAAGAGAAAAAAACTCAAGAACTAAAAAAAACCCAACTTCCTGGGACGGAATTCCAAAAAGAATCTAGTGAGATGATGTACTTCCACTGTAGCCCCTTTCTTCGAATAAGAAATCTAAGGAATTAGAATCGAAAATTATAGAAGATTCAATGAAAAATGAAACCCACGGTAGAAATGATATTGGTGAAGGAACCCAGACGGCAAGTTCCAACTTTTATTGTCTAAAAAAATCAATAGAAAATCTTGAAAAAGAAGAAGAAGAATGACAACAAACCCATCAAAAGCCCCACAAAATCCCACAGAACCCAAACCCAAATACAGATTCGGCTTCCGTCGATAACAACGTAATAGTTCTCCTCCAGATTCTAGTCCAGGAACAAAGAAGAAAAAAGGTGTAATAAACCAATATTAAAGAAGGATAGTCGATGTGCCGTTTTGCTTTACTTTTATGGGCGACGACTGACGTGAACTCATTCGTTTCTTCTACTTACAATAAACATAATGTGTTGTCTTTTTATTTTATTTATAAATTTTGGATAAATTATATATTAGTAATTATTCTCAAATGATTATTTTAATTATTAAAATTTTATTGAAATTTTAAATATTTATTAAATAATTATAAATAATTATCATATTTTAATAATTGTTCAATAAATTTATTAAAATGATTATTTTAATATAATTATAACTTTTGTCTTTAGATTTTTAATTTTTTTAAAACTATTTTTTGCTAATATGGGATGATTAGAATAATATGTATTTGAATGACTCAATTATTTGAAAAAAAATACTCAAACACCCTTATAGATATTGTGCTCGAAAACAATACCTATATAAATATCAATTAATTATTTAACTATTAAATTCGTTTCATAAGTAAAAAAAAATTATTTTTTATTATATTTAGTACGTTGTTATTTTTTTTATAATAATAATAAAAATGGGTGGTTAACCTAAAATGAAGTCAATGATGTGGATGAGTCCTATGGGTCATCCGATGACGTTTTTAAAGATTATTGGTGGGAATGTGAATGGTCTGTCTCGTTTGGGGTTGACTTTGATGTTGGTAATTACTTTTTAGGTGCTTGAAAGGCAAGATTGGTGGAGGAATACTTGGCCGCCACTCCTCTAAAAACACATGATTTATCAACTCCCATATTAAAGGCAAATTTCCTTTCCCACACTGAGCTGGAATTTGAATCAGATTTCTTTTTTGTTGATTAATCAGAGTTGTATTCAACCAAAGAGTTAATCACCAGAAGAAGAAGAAGAAGAAGAAGAATACTGGGTAACAGTGTAGCTTTTGGTTGCATCAGAATCAGACATGCCCTCATTAGGTAAAGGCTTAGGCCTGTTCATGCTCCCGCCCATTCTCAATCATCACGTGAATGCCTTCCGTGGAAGCAAAAGTCAGAGTAGTAAGATCGGGACAGTTTTTGAGAAGAAAGTTCATTATTAATTATGTGATTTATCAAATTTTATTTTATTTTAAATGTAAATCCTTTGTGGCTGGAGAAAATATTAAAATAAGTCAGATCATTAAAGTGTAATTGATAAAATGACCTAATGACTAAAAAAATCAATGCATAAAATTTAATTATTAAATTGAAAATTTTTAAATTACAACTATTGAAATAGAAGTGAAAAGAAAATTTAATTATTAATTATGTATATAAACTATGCTTTTTTTTAAACCTGATAATAGAAGGGCCAGGCCCAATATTAACCCAAATCCAATTAACCAATATTACTAGGGTATAAAATATATTTTTTCAATAATAATAATAATATAATCGAACATTTTTTTAGTAACATATAATTTAACATATTCGTGAATAATTTCAAAATAAATAATAAATATTAACAGTTGAAATATTGTAATATATATGATTGTTTGATTGACATCATTTAAATAATTAAATGATTTGATCGATAAAATTAAAATATTAGTTATCATATTAAAAATTATCCATATTTAAATGGTCATGGATTTATTTTACCTTAATTTTTATTTATTTTTAAATATCAATTAATATTATTTTATTTTTTATCCTTTAATACCAAAATTACATTACAAAGGAAATATTGGAAAGCTTTTGGAAAATAAAAGAAATCAATGTCTATATATAATAAAATCCCAAGAAACACATAAGTTTGAGGCTTGTGCCCTCTCATACACACATTTTCAACTGTGGAAATTTGACACCAAATAAATAAAATAAAGTAAAACACACATAAATGGAATGACCATACCCCATAGCACACAAGCTTTTATGTGGTACATGTTCAATACTTACATTTGTTTGATCTTCTCTTCTTTGCTCCTTCCGGTTTACCGAAAACCCCACAAAATCCACAGCCCGAGACCCTAGGGGAAGGAGGATCGAAGCTAGGCGGCGGCACCTTCATCGTCGTCCGGTACATGTTCCCGTCGCCTCTGTTGGATCGGCTATGTTGATTGTTGAGTTTCATTTGGTTCAAGTCTCCTGATAAGAACTTGTCGTCCCATATCAACCCGGACGAGCCTTGTCGCCTGAACGATGTCGTGGACCGTTGCAAACCGCTCTGCTCCATCCCTTGAACTGCGATTCTTGGTGGTCCCAAAGGAAGTGAATTATGGGATTTGATGTTCAAAGCTCTTTTCTTCAATGTATTTTATAAGTGGAGAAGATGACAAAGGAATATGAGAAAATTCATAAAATAGCGAGTAAAATATGTGTAAGAATGGGATTTTTGGTCCACCATTTTTGCAAACTTTTAAAGCACCGAATCAAATATTGTTGGACCACAACAAACTGTCGTACTCATTGGTCTAAAATTTGGAATATTGAAGGCGGCCGGCCTATATAAATAAGAATGCTAATTAGTGACCAAAATGTGACAAAACAGAAACCATGTCACTATTGGAATGAAAATTTATTCTTATGAGAATGTTGATATCACCCTCTTTTTCTATACCTTTTAATATTTTTTAAAGAATAAAATAAATGATTTCAACGTTTTGATAAGTACAAAATATTTGGGTCAATTTGATAAGAAAAAGATTCAAGGACTAAAATGACTAAACTAGTAAAGTTCAGGGGCCAAAAGATTATAATAAAATAATATTATCAACAAAAAATGTATGCATTTGATTATAAAATAGATTTTTTTATTATTATAGTTTAATTTTAAAAGAAGTCAAAGAGTTATAAGCTAAACTTGTTGAGATCGTGGCATTTCTGGTAAAATAAAATTTGGTTCACGTTCAGAAGGTCAAGGAGTGAACTGAAAATTTTGGCGTCCAACAGCCGGTGGCGCAATGGTGAGTGGTGGCTGACAACAGAAGATTTTGCTCAAATTCAATGATTAAATTGATATTTTTTCTAAAGTTTAAGGGTTAAAATAATATTTGATATAAAATTCAAGATCAAATCAGTATTCTATCTAAAATTTAAAGGTCAAATTAAAAATTAACTTTCTTTCTTTTAATATATTATGTCATCAAACTAACCGTGATCAACGATTCAGTTATTGAAATATAAAAATTGTTAACGTTTGTAACAAAAATTTAATGATCAATAACGTGATTGAAACGTTTTTATAAATTTGATGAAGAAAAGTATACAAAGTAAAAACTATTAGTCCAATAATTTATTTTCAAGGAATTTATAATTTAATTATAATCTCTAAATTAATTTGCTGAATTTACGAGCCTAGTATAAATGTTAAAGCTGAAAACTGTGAATAGAGGGTTTATTTGTTGCCAATTGTTTTTTTTTTTTTATTGTATTGGATCTAGAGACGGTCATTTTATTCGGATATGACGAATTCTGACCTGATTAAGTTAGTTTTTTTTTTAATTTTGGATTTGGTCAATTTTTAGGATGCAATCGGATTAGGTTAAGTTCGTGCTTAGGGTGATAAATTCACCTGATATGATATTATAATTATTTTTATATATTTATAGATAATTATAATATTTATTTTTTAATTAAATGTTTATTTTATCTAATATAAATAAATCTAGGTTATGATCGGATAAGATTGAGTTCATACTTGAGTCATGCGGATTTTAACCTAAAATATCGGAACGGGTTAAGGTCTTTCTAAACCTGGGTTGGATCAGAGGTGTGGGTGGATGACTCCAATTTTTTAGTAAGATTCAGATAGACTAAAAATCCTATCCGAATCACCGGAGCCATCCCTACAACAGTTTGCCATCCCTAACTTGGTCTCATGGTGGCCTAACTCCTGAACTTTTGGGCTGAGCTAGAGGAAAGAGGGTGATATATGAACTATCATGCTTGAGGTTGTCCAAGAAAGCAACGCTTTTTCAAACCACTTGCAGAAACTGCAGACAAAAAGCTCTCTGTCATGTTCTTATTCATCGTCAGTGTTCAATTCACCAATCTTGTTTGCATATTTGTTCATTCACTCAGAGTAACCTGAACCCAAACTCTTCACACCAGTGCTTTTTGCAGAGCACCAGACAACTTTCCCTCACAACCATCAGGGTCACATGGAAAAAGGATTAATAATAATTGAGGACAAAGATAATAAATTGTTGTCTTTATATCTATGATTTGAACGGTGGACAATGGACCAAGATTCCCTTTTCATTGTCATGGGTGCACAGATGTAAAAACCCTCAAACAAGAAGGATCCTTGTCCCTGGTTTTGGAACTGTTTTAGGTTCTGAAATCTTTTGGTAAATGTTTACTATGAACTGTCCACAAGTAGTAGGTAGTTTATGTAGAGACAGAACTCGGTGTAGAATGTTGGTAAAATAGACCGTTGCAAAATGAGACGTTAGTATTGACTGGAAAATATTAAATAAAATAATCAATCAGAATGATAACCGCGTCGTGGTAATCCACTGCCTTAGAAGCAAATTCGCCCCAATGTGTGTAATCGCTACAATGGACAAACAACCCCCTGAGGTTAACACGGCTCTCCAAGAATTCGTACATCCGAAAATTGGAGTGAACTTGGTGGCATTGCTCTTCTTTCAACTCAAACAACACTCAAAAGAGATGAGTGTTTCAAAGCAAATGTTTTCTTGGGATGTCTAAAATGAATGAAATTGCTCACTATTTATAAGCTAAATAGTGAGGGCAAAATAGTCATTTCCAATACTAGTGGAAATACCTAACTTGAGCATATTTCCAATACTAGTGGAAAAACTTAACTTGAGCATTTTTCCAATGCTAGTGGAAATACCTAATTTAAGCATTTTTTCCAATATTCAATTGAGTATTATCAACATTCCCCCACTAATGCGAAAGAATTTTTTTCGTAAAGATGAGAGCAATGAAGTTAAAACACGAAAAGAGCAATAGCGAGATTAGTTGCTTAAGCACTAGTGAGCGTATCTGAAACTAGTATATAGTGATGATGAGCAATCCTTCTCTTAGATAAGTGAAACTAGTCTTGAAATTTCTAAGATGGGGGTAAACTCATAACACACAACTAACCCCTTCATCCACCAAAGTCCTCGATGTGTCTACAAAGAATATATATAAAAGCGTATATATGTTCTCTTTCCCTATGATTCTAATAAGTGTACTAGAAAAATAGCCCAACGTTTTTCATAGAAGGTGGCTAATCCTTCTCACTTATGTAGGTTATTTCATCAAGTTTATCTCAACATAAACCATTCAAACTGAGCTATGAAATAATTAAGAGCTTTTAAAATAGCTCAACCTCACAAAGGGTATGATGACTTTCTTCAAGCTCATTAAAAATGAACACCCAAACTCAAGGATAAGGAGTCATTAAGAATAAATATTCAACCTCATAATTCGGTGAATTCAATATGTCATTCTCACTAGGAACTCCCATTCAATATGTCCTTCTCACTAGGAACTCCCAAACTCTTGGGTTTGAATTCATTAAGAGTTTAATAAAAACTCATCATCTCAAGAGGTAAGTTCATCTAGTCCTTCGCGATTAGAACTACCCACTCAACTCTGGGTTATGAACTTATTAAGAATAGATATTCAGTCAAAATCTGTAAATTCATCAAGTCTTTCTCACTAAAACCACCCAAAACCTGGGCTATGAATTTATTAAGAGCAATTAAGCTCATCCTTGGCATGCACATTATTCATCATAGGGATAGGCAGTAGGAATGTGCACTATGAGTCTTTCCATGGTTTCGTTTGACCACATGGAACTTAGATAACTAAGTTGGGTATCCACCATGAATTCCTCAACCAATGTGCTTTAGACCCATCCCCCTCGACGAATCTAGGACCAGCTTCCTACTTAACCCTTTGGTAAGTGGATCTGCTAGGTTCCTTTCAGACTTCACATACTCTAAAGAGAGCACTCCATTCTTTATTAAGTGTCTAATTGATTCACGTCTTATGTGAATGTATCTTTTCTTACCATTGTAAGCTTGTTTTTTAGCCACACATATCGCATCTTGTGAATCACATAATAAAGAAATCGGAGGAGTCGGTCTTCCCCCACAACGGAATATTTGCTAACAAGCTTCTGAGCCACTCGGCTTCTTGCCCAACTAGATCAAGAGCTATAAACTCTGACTCCATGGTAGAACGAGCAATACAAGTATGCTTTGATGATTTCCATGAGATTATTGCTCCACCTAAAGTAAAAACATATCCGCTCGTAGAGCTTACCTCATCATTATCAAAAAACCAATTGGCATCACAATATCCTTCCAGTACCACATGATAGCCAACAAACTCAAGTTTCCAATCCAAAGTACCCTTAAGATACTACAGTAAGAGTTTAAGAGCAATCCAGTGTTCACCACTCGGATTATGAGTATGTCTAGTTAGTTTACTCATAGCATAAGCAATATTAGGCCAAGTAAAGTTCATTAAGAACATTAAGCTTCCGATTAATTTATCATATTCTGTTTGGGAAATGTTACTTCCTTTATTATTAAAGAGATATATGCTAGGGTCACAAGGGTTCAAACAGGGACAACATCAAAACTGTCAAATTTCTTTAACACTTTCTCAAGATAGTGTGCTTGACTTAAAGAAAATCCCTTTTCAGTTTTGATAATTTTGACTTCAAAGATTACATTGACCTTTCCGAGATCCACCATCTCAAATTTAGTGGACAAAAAACCGTTTGTTTTGTTAATGGACTCAATGTTAGAACTGAAAATCAACATGTCATCAACATACAAAACTTATGATAACGCAATAACATCATCCGAACCATTCACAACAAAACCAAAACTAAGTATAGTTTTATGAAATTTCTTGTACCATTGTTTCCATATAGATTTCCTTATCTAGATCACCATTCAAAAATGCAGTCTTAACATCCATTTGATGTACTTTCAACTTATGAATGGAGGCTAGTGCAAATAATGCACGAATCGTTGAGATGTTCATAACGGGGAAGTAAAAATCAAAGTAGTCTAAAACAAACTTGTGAGTGAACCCTTTCACAACTAGCCTTGCCTTGTACCACTGGATCAAACCATCTGGTCTCATTTTCTTCCGGAAGATTCATTTGCTACATATTGGTTTAAATCCTCTAGGCAAGTCAACTAATTCCCAAGTATGATTAGACATTATCGATTCTAGTTCATCATTAAAAGCCCTTTTCTAGCATCAATAGATCTTATAGCTTTTTTTTAGGATCCTCATATAATATTTAAGCTATATGATCAGAAATAGAGTCTAAATTATTTATCTCAGAAATAAAGGAAGTGATAAAAATTGATCCAAATAGCCTTTTACTTATTCTAGGCTCGAAATCAATTTCTTGAGAAGACCTAGCAGGAATACTAGAAGAAGTGGATAGAACATTTTCTATTTGAGTTTATGCATTTAATCTACATTTTAAGACATCAATATAGCTATGTATACACGTTAAAAGCAATAAATGTTTTTTAAATCAGTAAACACAATGAATGCTAATATAGTATAAAGCTAATTGCTTTATACATGAAAGGAACCGAAATAATATTCATACCAACATTTCATGCATTATTATGCATTAAAATCCCCAATGAATTATTAATAAATATTGCTTTTATTATACTATTTGACTAGTATATATTGATAATAGCCTAATACCATTCGAAAGCAATAAACACACGTCTCCATTATCTTTTCAGTTTTGCAATATTTTAATACCCAAAAACTTGTATAGCTATTAAAGAATGCTTAACATCTGTTTCCGATCATGCATTATTATTGCATTCCTCACAAACGTTTAAAAACATTATAATAATGCTTTTGCAAAGATTTAAAGCTTTTAGACACTAAAAATAGCATTAAAAACGTTTGAAGATATTATTCTAACAAGCATCGTTTTAATCATTCTTAATGAGAATGCACACGTTTCAGAATCAACAACCATTTCTTTCTCCCATTTTATTGGTAAATCACAAAATTAATTTGAAATGGTTTAGATATATTATTTATACTAACCTTTTGATTCTTACCATTCCCAGAGGTGGAATACATTCCAAATTTGCAAAGTAAAGACACGATCTCATGCAGTGCCATCCATATTCGATTTGGAAAATTTATCCTGCCTTTGTAAGAATCATGTGTTAACAACAGTATAATGAATTTGTTTCTATATTATTGGTAAAATAGACTGTTGCAAAACGAGGCGTTAGTATTGACGGGAAAATATTAAATAAAATAATCAATCATAATGATAACCGCGTCGTGGTAATCCACTGCCTTAGAAGCAAATTCGTCCCGATGTGTATAATCGCTACAATGGACAAACAACCCCCTGAGGTTAACACGGCTCTCCAAGAATTCGTACACCAGAAAACTGTAGTGAACTTGGTGGTATTGTTCTTCTCTCAACTCAAACAACACTCAAAAGATAGGAGTGTTTCAAAGCAAATATTTTCTTGGGATCTCTAAAATGAATGAATTTGCTCACTATTTATAGACTAAATAGTGAGGGTAAAATAGTCATTTCCAATACTAGTGGAAATACCTAACTTGAGCATATTTCCAATGCTAGCGGAAAAACCGAACTTGAGTATTTTTCTAATGCCAGTGGAAATACCTAATTTAAGCACTTTTTCCAATATTCAATTGAGCATTATCAATATAGAACAAAACCAAACCCATGTTTTTCTGTACAACCGATGAGAGAGGGAATCTGTCTGAATCCAAAAGGATGTCGAGTTCATGTCCAGCACAAGTGAAATCCCAAGCTCAAAATTCACTGATTAGCCGAGCAAATACTGTGGGCATAATTGGAGGGGTTTCTGTTTTGTCCACTCTTGTTTTCCTTGAGAAACTCGTGTGGTGGAGCTCGAGAAATGGAGAAGAGAGTGTGCCTTTTGTGGTCTGCAGCGATCCAGCCATCGATGGGGTGCTTGTTTCTTCATCTTTCGACGAAACGGATCTAACGAAGCGATTATCCTGAATCTCAGGCACAAAAGAGTGTTCCTCGAAGAGTCTGGCGCTCGATGCATGGTTATGCCATGCCATATCTCAAATGCATGGCATGAAAAGATATCTGATGGCTGCTCATTGCCGTTTTTTCATATTGGTGAATGTGTTGCCGAAGAGCTCAAGGAAGCAAAACTTAAAAATCACAATACTGGGAGTAATGTGCGGATCGGGGTGCTTGCCACCAGTGAGATAACTGCTGCTGGTTCTTACCAGGAAAAGCTAGGGAATCAGGTATGTCAAATTCTATATATGTATGTGTCATGTCCAAGGAAACAAAGGACCTTTGCTATGAAAAACTTTCACTATGTTCATCCTGAGTACAATTGTATTGTGCTGAACACTTAAAGTTTTCAGGGGTTTGAGGTTGTCTTGCCAGACAAGGCAACCATGGAACACATTCTAGTTCCCGCTATCTACTCATTGAACAAACGAGACATCAAAGGGGATCAGAACCTCTTAAGAATCGCAATCCAGGTCCTTTTGATAAGGGCTGTGAATGTTGTCGTCCTTGCCTCCGATGAACTTCAGAATATTTTACCTTGAGAAGATCCGTTTCTCAAGAAATGCATCGATCCTATGGACGCCTAAGCTAGATCAATTATAAAATGGGCTAAATCTGAAAAATAAGGTGCACCAGAAAACTACTTGATCTCTTGTAAGGATATTTGACTATCAAGTAACGCACACCAAATTGTTCATTTAGATTATCAGTCAGTAAAAGGTAATAACATATGAATATGATCAAATGATCATTAACAGATATTAACTGCCCTGGTTTTAATTGCAGAGTCTACACTTCTGCAAGATCAAATGATGTGTTTGAAACAAATAATCATATGAACGAAAAAGTTCGAATGTCCCAAGTTTCGACCAAAAATTTAAAAATCATATTTTTTTCCATTGATAATCCAAATTTCAAGACACTTAAAAACAGACAATTAAACTATTGCTGTGATTTTCATACTCATGATCTGAGACAATTATTTGATCTTGTTTCAGCCCCTCCAAGGAAGGATAACAACACCATAGCTGACCAAAAACGTATAAAATTTGAAAAGGGCATATGATTTTCTCTTCCAAAAAGAGTTCTCAACTCGAATTTTAACTCAGCCCTCCACCTGACTAGGTAAATTGTGCACCAATGGCATATCTTCGAGCCAATCCCCATAAATCCTATTGATTTTCCTCTGTCCTTTCCACTTCAACAAGCATTTTTTAGCCTGGCCATTTTCATCCAAAGGGGAGCTCAACGTCACTGGAGGTGGATCATTGGCGGGGAGGCTGTGAATTTTTGATGAAACCGAACCAATTCTTGTCAAACCAGAACCCGAATTCCCAAAGTCACCATCAACACGTCCATTCATGCCCTGCAACTCTGATTACAAAAATAGGCCACATGAGATAAAGATTTGTGCAAAGCCATATGAAACAAAGAATTGTAATGGCATCGAAAGCCATACGAAACGAAGTCTTTTTTTCTTGCTCACAGATATGACATTTTGACGACAGTATTAACATTTCAAATATAGAAATCTCTTCTAAAATCAAATTTAGAAAAAGATCATTAACAAAATTCAAGAAGGAAAACCAGTAATTGAATTCTCTTAAGTTAAAGCATAAATAAGAAATCATTTAATTTGGTCAGTAGCTTAGTATTTAACACACAAAATGTGCTTATACGCTTTCTTTAAAAAAATACCAGCTAATGTTAATATTATTCTTCTTAATTTAAATCAATAAGTTGCAAGGCACAAATATTATGATAATTCAAAGCTTGAACAAAAATATTAACATGAAATATACCTGCTTGTCCATGAGCAAAGTGGCATTTCTCACCAAAGGGACAATGACCTGTTATCTCCCACTTCGTACATAACTTAGTTTTCCAATACACAGGATAAACAGGTTTCATATTTCCTCGAAAAGAATCTGAACTGTTGCTGTTTGCCGGCCTATTACCTTCAGATTGGTCGGGCACAATTCCATGTCCCGCAGGTGGACTGGTTGTTCCAATGCTAATAGCTGAACTCTCCCTAAACCTCCCAATATCATCCCTGAACTTCGATGGATCTTCATGAAGAAAATTACATCTGTCCCCATATGGACATTCCTCTCCGTTATAGAACTTCTTACAAAGCTTCATCCGATGAATAATCTTCTGATCATCATCCCAATTCCCCGATGGGTGTTCTTCCTCACGACTACCGACGAGTTCTTGCCAATTCGGAGGAGGCTGACGCAGGTCCTCAATGCCATGAGCAAAGTTACAACCTTCACCATTCCTACAAGTACCCAATCTGAATTTCGCACACATTCGAGTTTTGAAGAAAAATATTAGTGGTTCCCTTATTAATAGGCGGATTTAGGGGCATCCTCGGATTAGTATGATTTGTAGGAGTACATTGCACGATATTAGATTGGTTATCCTCGGAATGTCTAGGTCTTTTGAATGGAGGCGATTGTTGTTGTTGTTGTTGTTGAAATTCGAAATGTGGCTCGAATTGCCAATCATTCATGGGAATCCCAGGCCAAATCCCAATGGCATCACTGCCAGCATAAGTTGATTGGGGCGTTCTCATAAAGGAAGATTTAGAATAATTCATACTAACAATTTCAAAGGTTTCAAAATCGAATCCAACTCTATCCCAAACACTATTTTTAACTCTCAATTAAAATCAAGCAAAAATCAACTGCCAGACCGAATTCGGATCAATGCTACTGATTATTAAACCTAACAAAGATGCAAGACAAACAAAATCCCAAACGGATAACAATTAAATTATACACGTAACGAATAATTGTACCAAGATCCAAACTTTTTCTAACAAAAATAACAAACCAGATTGGATTTCAATGAATATAACAAACCGATTAAAAAGAATAAAAGAATGAGTATCTGGAAGGGAAATGAATGGTAAACAGAAAAAGCTTACCAGTATCAAACGAATCCAAATTGAAAAACTTGAGAATGTAGATAATGAATGATCAATGCTCAGATAATACTAAGAGTACCCCGGGATGATAATTTTGAATGAAAAACGAGTTCATATAGAAATCTTAAAGTTTTAAGTATGGGAATTGAATAGAAGAAATCGGGGAAGAAGTTGGGTAGAGATAGAGGCAGTGCAGTATGAAAAATGGAAAAGCAGGAATGCAGTATACAAATATATATAGAGAGGATAGGTCACAAAGGTCAAACAAAAACCCTAGCCGCCTTAGAAAAAAAGATCCTAATTCAGAAACAGAAACCCTAAATCTTAAAAGGAAAAAAGGGTTCCTCAACCTCCAAAACCCTGCCGTAACGGCCTTCTATACCAGCCACTACTTTTTTTTAATAAATAACATGTAAAAATTTTAACTTGTTTTATATATATATATATATATATATATGGTAAAAATAATGTTATTTTCTTTAGAAGTTCTTAATTTTAAGTTGTTGTTTCTGCAAGATGTGTCCACGTTAATTTTAAGATCCTATGTTCGAGTAGTTATACTTGTGAATGTGTGTTCATTATTAGCATCTAAGAAAAATTCTAAACCAATACTAACTTATAATCCTATTAAATTATTTTTTTAGAAAAAATAATAATAATAGCTGCCTCAAGCACTAAATGTTTTTATTTTTGGTTACGGAAGGAAGTATGTATTCAGTCCACTGCTACATTAGTAGTCTCTCTCCAAATTATAAAATTATATTTTAGATCAAATTGAAATAAAACAGTAAAATATAGATTTCAGACTTTATTAAACCATAAAATTAGCGTTAAATTGTTTTTTCGATTTTTTCGATTTCCTTACCAGGTCTAACCCAGATTGCACTCTCTGGTTTCATTCCCATAGTCGAATTGTATCCTTCATCGGTCATTCGTGCGAAAAGCACAATGGCCTCGTCGGCCAGCCTGTGCATTGCTGCTAGTCCACATATCATTGCGCCAAACTTTTCTGTTTCTTTCTATTAAAGGCTTGTTGTTTGCGCTGCTTCTACACTTCCACACTTTGCGTATATACCAACAAGACTCATGCAAATAGAGATGTTATTTTGTTATATTTTGATCGGATCTCTTTTGTAAATTATATTTTTGTTAATATATTTTTTCTATCCAAACCTTTGAAAAAGATCCTCCGTTTATTGAAGTTGTCGGAATTTTGTATCCACCAGTCAACCATGATCTCTTGGTATGGCTTCTAATATGTACACGTGACCAGATTGAACCATATCGACAATCATATTTATTTATCTTGTCAATCTTCAAATATACATCATGATTATATGTTTGACATCAATACTAAAGGTTTATATATAAATATTCATGTAAGGTTAAAGAAGACATCGTGATTTTTTTTTCTTTTAATCTCTCGACGTCATGTATCACCTTCTTCAGTTCACATGAATCATCGACTACGATTCTCCGTTCAGATCGAAAGGATAAATTACGACCATCGTTTTCTCATCTAATTGAACCACAAGACTTGCAACATTATGGATGCATAGTGAATCTTGTAGGGCGAGCAGGGTTGTTTGACGAAGCAGAAGCTTTGATTCAGACTATGGAAATGAAACCAAATGGTGCAATCTGGGGTTCTTTGCTTGGACCTTGTAGGGTTCATAAACTCGTTTAGGTGAATCAGTGGCCGAGCGCCTTCTCGAGTTAGAGCCTGAAGATCCTGGGGTTTATGTTCTCTTGTCAAATATCTATGCGGGACTGTAAATGAATCCAGCTTAAAATAAATAAAATTGTATTTGTGTTTGTTTATTTTTTAAGATGTTCGGTTCGTGTTCGGTTATTTATTTTTGGAGGTGTTCGTTTTTTTAGTATTCGCAAACATGTTCGTTTAATATTTACAAGCCAAAGAAAAATAATAAAATTATACCATTGGTCTATAATCTCCTTAACCTTCACAATTTGAACTTCAAAGTTCACCTTTATGTTCCATTTAATTCCTATTTTCATAAATAATTAAAATATAAAAAAAGGAGAACCAAGTAAATGAACTTAAATGAGCTTATAAACAAACTTGTTCGCTATAATAAACGAACCGAACACACTTCTATTTGTGTCCGTTCGTTTATTAAATGAATATAAAAAATAAAACTCGTATGTTTAGTTTAATCAACAAACATTATACAAACAATATGGAAAGTTATTTCATTTATATCCCTACTAGTACGTGAGACGATGTACCATGTCTGCTGCCATGAATATCAACTTATTAAAGTAATGCAGCCATGAATATCAACTTATTATAGTAACGTTGAGCAATAGGTCTTTCATATTGCAATCGTATGTACAAGGTGAGTTTAGGATTGTATACTTAAATTTTTCTATTTTTATCCGTTTATCAAGTAAAATGAATGATTATAAATAAAATTATAAAACTCGTTTATAATAAAAATTGAAATCAACGGATTTATTAAATAGATGAATTGTAGAAATATCCCTTTCAATCAAACATTTAATATTTTCTCGAGTTGTGTTTTTTTCATCCTAAACTCAAACTGACTTTAATATTTTCTCGAATTATGTTTTTTTTTTCATCCTAAACTCAAAATGACTTTATTCTCAAAAAATTTATCCCAAACCCGAATTTTCAAAAAATAGAAATAAAAATAATCTTTATAGAGGAGTGGACCATGAAAGAGAAGTCATGTGAGAGAATCAAGTTTGTCTCAAGCTCTGGGGAACCCCAAACCCATCAACAACATGCATTTGCAAAGAAAGCAGAATCATATGCTCACCAAAGATCTCTTGGTCCCCCAACCATGTCAAACTTCTTTAATACCAATAGTTATGTACACATGAACCAGAACCCGCAACCACCATAGCTGAGCCCCCACCACCACCATGTTTGGCTTCATCTCGTTTTCGCATACCGACACTTTTTGACATTATCGAATCACATTCTCACACATGCCATGAAACAAATTGCAGACGAAAGGGCAAAGAAACTATGGAAGAAAGGGAATTTTATACAAATATCGGATGTTTTTACATGAAATCATAGCAAATATTTGGAATCCGAGACCGAGAAAGGGCATCGAGTTTTTACAAATACAACATGGCCTGAACCTTTATTGCCAAACCACACTCAAATCAAGAATCAGGGTGGAGTTCAAAATCCTACCTATATGTCTCTATAACAACAATACCAACAAATGGTTCACTGTCCAATGTGGAAAAACAAATGTAGATATAAACTGTGAATACAGAAAATAGAGTTATTGATGAATAAAAACCTTCAATCCGGCATCTCGATGCGAACACCTGGAATGGTACCCTTAACCATTTGCCGAGAACTGCACAGCCGAAAACCAGTTTTTTGTCAGTGGATACAAAGAATACTGACTTAATTATATCACCATCGGTTTTCTCTCTAGCTTCGGTGCGGCATTAGCTCATCTGCTCTCCGATTAAATCTAGACCGACTAGGAGAAAAGTCACGCCCTGGAAGAGGAGGAAGTAGAAATGTACTCCTTGTGCTGCTAGCAGGCTCCTAACCGAAGCTGTAAGTAGGAGGAATGCCAGAGTGAGCTCTTTCCTGTATATCTTATTGACCCTCTTAACAGGTATGGGAGCCGCCTCTTTCTGTTCCTTTAATCGGTTTAATTCAGTGAGCTCACTTTCTGAAGCTCCTCTCTGAATTTGCAGCTGGTTCATTGTCTTCGATTCCCTCTCGGCAGAAGCGAGTAAGTCAGATTCCGATGACCTGCCAGCCTTTTTGGTCACAACCCACTCATAGGAGCTACCCAACTGGAACAGTCCCGATACCATTGCATTGAATTTGGTCACGGACATGGTGTTTTCAAATAGAAGGTAAGGAACAATGAAAGGGAATGATTTGGGGGCTGGAAGAATGTTGAGGAATGACATAAAAACAGGTACATAACAAATAACCCAAACAGGAAGCTCGGCCTCCGGGACGAACATGGTTAGAGGAAGAATTATGCAGAACAATGTGAAGGAGTAGAAGGGAAGGATAAGTTTCCTCAACAAAAAGAAAAGCAGTATTAAGTTTGCTTTTTTCCATATCGCTATCTGCAGAGTTATGGCATTAAAGGTACTTAAGTATACTTTAAATAGATCATAAATGCCAAATATTGAAAGTCATGTAACAATGTATACCTTGGAAGTTATGATCGCTGGAAGGCATAAGCGGAAGAGTTGCATAGGTCCTGAATGCCAGCGATGTTGCTGCTTCCTGTATGCTTCATACGACTCCGGGACTTCACAAAGGACCTAAAAGTTTTATACAATAACTAACAGCAGTCAGGACATTCCCTGAATCTTCCACCGAGGGGTTATACGCTTTATGTCGCATGTATGACAATGCAAGGGTGAAAAATAAGAGAACAGGATCATATGAAGTCAATACAAGCAAAAAGAAATTAAATTAGCACCTTTATATCATTAAGGAAGAAGAATTTCCAACCATTGAGATGTGCACGAATGGCTATGTCCATGTCCTCTACAGTTGTCCTTTCAAGCCAGCCTCCGGATTCCTCGAGAGCTTTAATTCTCCAAACTCCAGCAGTTCCATTAAAACCAAAGAAATTTAAAAACACACCATTAACTTGTTGTTCGACTTCGAAGTGGAAACATAAGTTAATGTTCTGGAGACGAGTCAACAAATTCTCATCCTTATTGACAAAAGCCCATCTAGCCTGAACTAACCCCAACTCAGGATTGTCCTGCAAGAAAAATCCTGATAAGCTGATAACAGGCAAGGAACTTGAACAAAAATGATTCCAGTTTGTTTCTTTTCACCTTGAAATGCGGCACGGTTTGCTTTAGAAAATCCGGGTTAGGTTGAAAATCAGCATCAAATATTGCTACAAACTCATAGGCCTGTACATACTCGCAACTCATGGCAGAATTAAGATTCCCTGCCTTGTAACCGGTTCTTATCAGACGATGTTGGTAAATTATATTGACACCCTTTTGGTTCCATTTAGCAACCTCTGCTTTAATTAAATACCGGATGCTTTCGTCATCAGAATCATCAAGTACCTGAATCAATAATCGATCCTTAGGCCAATCAAGTTGGCAGACAGCAGAGATAGACTGCTCATATACCTGTATGAAATCGGCGGAAAAGGCAATCAACATCAAGAAAAACAAACACAATACGCCTAATATTACCATACTCCATTCTTGGATGTCCTTGGCTCCTAGTTAAGTCCTATCTATCACAATTTGCGGCGACATGTTCGCTAAGAATAGCATCATAATATGCCAATATTTTTTCGATACCGATGTCAATTTCCATTACATAAGCTTCTAACTAAATTCATCACTGAAATCTACAGTCTAACCAATGTAAATTGTCAAAAAACTAGAGAAAAGGAGGAAAATTGAGTACCTCTCTCTCGTTACACATTGGGATTTGAACAAGAACCATGGGATACACATCGGCGGATCGTTCCACATCATCGGACTTGAACGGATCCCCCTCAATTCTGGGTTTAATCTTCTTGTACTTAATCCAAAAGCAGCCTAAGCTAAGTATCAACCGATCAGCAGATTGGATAAGAAACAGAGCAACACAGAAATTAGACAAAGCTTGAATCGGCGGTGCAATGTAATTGGCCCGAACCGACAACCAAGTGACATAAACCAAGTGGAGCAGCCCCTGGATGTCACTGCTCATCGGAATATGCAAACTGGGATTCCGAAAATAATGCCATCCGTTGAGATAAGCGAGCAATTCGAAGCACAGAATTGCGATGGAAGTCACTAGGAAGAGTTTAATGACAATGAACAAAACTTTCCCTTTCCCCATTTTTTCACTGGCCATGGCAACATCTTGCCTGAAGATCAGCCTTTTGTTGATGGCTCCGAGCACTGCCCAAAAGAGTGAGGCGATCCAAGCGACACAGCCGACGGCACGGTGAGCCTTGAGAAGTAAAACCCAAGTCACTTGCTTGGCGTTTTTGCCTCTGGTTTTCTCCACTGGCCGGAATGCAGCATCGGGGGCGTCGATTTCCACCACCGAGTAGTTCGGGTTATCCATTTTTACCACCACGGGCGTCCCTTTCTTCGCTTCAGTTGGCCACCAATTGGAGAAATCTAAACTCTGAGCCATTTTCAGTTCACTGGGTCTGACTCGGATCTCACAAAGAGCAGTTTAGCAAAAGAAAAAGGAACCCAGAGTTCAGATGGTGAAAGAAGGAAGCTTGAGAGTATCCATTGTAGAAGAGAAGGAGTGTTTATAGTGTGAGGGTAGAAGAAGAAGACAGACACAACATGGGAAAACAAATTTATGAGGAAAGGTATATGATGCTGTAAGAACCCAAACATCACGCCATCTGGTTTTATCTGCTAATCATCCAAACAATTTTTTTAACCGCACATCCATAATTGATGTAAGAAACCAAACGTTTTTTTTATTAGACTGCTTAACCTGTTATCCAAACAAAGTTGATTAATCCAAAATACTTTGGTGCTTTGCACAATCCACTCTTAGTTGTAAAAAAAAAATTCTATAAAGGATAGATGTGTTAATTTGATTTGATTATTCAATTCTATTTAATTATAAAATTTTACTTTTAATTTATTAAATAATTTTAATAATAAAAATATTTTTTTTATATTTAAACAATTACGTGTTACCTGAAGTGATAGGAAATTTTTAACTCTTGTTAGTCAAAATCTAATTTTGTCAAACATAAAATCAATCGGACCAACTTGACTCGTCCAGTGTTATGTGATGTAAATGGTCAGTGAACCATAAGAAAACAACAACTCAATGATTTTAAGAACACTCAATCGCGTGAATTAAACTGTGCATAATTATTATACTTATTTTGAGTTTAAATATCAACGATCGCATAGTATTTAAACGTCCATTGTCAAATGATTTATAATCTTTATAACAGATACTACCTCTTTTAATTATCCTAGATTAATAAAAAAAACACCATTCAACAAAGTAATACCCTGTCAATGAATAATTTTGTAACTTTTAATTATTAAGGATTCAACAAAACAATATTTTATAATCGAAAGATCATTTCACCTATTTGATTTAGTTGTCATCTTAAATTAAATGCATATAGACTCAATTGAAGTAATTTTTTTATATAAAATATTCATTATTATTATGAAGAAAATTTGTTTGATGCAAATTATTTATTTTAATTTTATATGTTTTATTTAGGGATTATAGATTTGGGGTTTTAAATATTTTAATGAAAAGATAAAACTTTTGCCGATTTATTATTCATGATTAACAGGAAATACATTTTTAAAGGTATAATTATAAAAAAACACATAATAACCAACTTATTTATAAATTAAGAATATTAAGATGCATGTTGTAAGGTAAGAATATTCTTTTCTTTTGTTCTTTTACGTTGTCTTCCCATTATTTATTTAACTTTTGTAAAAGTTTAATAATAGTAAGAAGAAAATCATTATCTAACATATACTAACAGTAAAGTTTTTCCTTTATAAGTTATTTTAATCTAATAATAACTTTAAATATTTAAATTTTAAATCAAATAATCTAAAAATATTTTTAAATTACTTTTTCATTACAATTTTCAAAAGTAATATGAAGTTACCCTTAAAATATAACAGCTTCTTTCTCTTTTGATTTGGATAGCATTTAGTTATTATTTTGTAGGGACAAAGCTAGCTTTAATAATTTAGGCATAATGTAAACATTAGTCTCCATCATTTATCAAAATTGTTATAGAAATGACCATCCAACTCAGTTGGTAGAGCACAAGGTTCTTAACCTTGAGGTTGTGGGATCGGGTCCCACGGAGGGTATTTCATAATTCGGAAGTCTCTTACGGAAGCTACTCTCAACCTGGTGTTGGGGTAGCCTACTATCTTACCCCCCCTTACCCCATACATATGGGAAAAAGGGACAACCATTTATCAAAATCGTCATTTTAGCTCCTATTTTTTATAGAGTGTAACACTCCAACCCGTACCTGACCCGAATACGAGTCTGAGGTGTCACATTGACTTTTCAAACCTTGACACTTAAAGAAAAACCCCGGGAAATTTAAAACTTGTTTAAAACAAAATACTTTAATTTACATAAAAGAGACCACAAAATACAAACTTGATCAGAGTACTCATAATTAACGACTTATTACATGCAACACTCTATACACAACAAAATACATACTTTGTTGATTACTTCTGATCTGATCTTCTAGTAATAATACTGTCCTTGCCACTTCTATTCTTGCTCTTCACGTTTCTTGGTACCTGCGTGTAAATCACTTACACGTTAAGTCATAGACTTAGTGAGGCAATAAATAAACATGTAACAGTGGATTCATGAAAATGCATTCTTACCATTTGATAATGATATTTCAATATGCATGGATATATTTCCTATGGCATATATAATCAAGTCATGCACACATGAAACTTACCTTTTTGCATCACTTTCACTTTAATTTATATTTAAATTGATGTTGTTGTTGCCCATGTATATTATTGAGAATAGAGGTATGTGAGTACATTGAGGTTGTGCACCAATGCTGTTACCACAGCTCGTATAAATTCCCTCACGGGGCACCGAACATTTGTTCAGTATTCGTCCCGAAGGACTGCTATATATGTCCCATAGGACCACTACGTCTCGAAGGACTACAATACCCTCGACTATTTGCATGCTAACTATACCTATAGCTCTCGTATCATATACTATGGGCATTTATTATGAATATATTTCTCATCACTTGTTATTTCTCTTCTGTCACATACCACATGTATGTGTAACCATATATTTCATATCATATCACATATTGCATATTCATATGTCATTTCATATATTCACATAACTTATTTCATTTCACATTGGTTATATCTCATATCATATATCACATATGCATATAATCATGTATATCATATCATATATCTTATGTTTCATGCTCTTATGTTTATGCATATCATGTATTCATGTACATATCAGAATCACATATCAAATAACATTTTAGGAGTCACTGCTTACCATAATAACTCCATCATTGGCTCATCACAAGCCAATGTTCGTTCAATAATATAAGTACAATTAAAATTGCACTCACCTTAGCCTTGCTTTGATTTGAATCAATTCTAATCCCTTGATTATTCCAGAGCTTGTTTAGGCTCAATACCTACATAAATATAACATTTCAAAACAACTATCATAAGCCTAAACCTTAAACTTAATGTTAACAACTTAAGCCAGATTACTGGAAATTTTTCGTTCAAGAAGGGGAATCGATTCTCTTCATAGGGTATCGGTTCCCTCTACCCAAAAATTGTATTTTAACCCCAAAAATCATCAATTCTTCACTTAATTCTTCTATTTTAAACCCCTATCATGTCATTAAACTCAACTACCATTACTTAAACCAACTTATATCCATGAAAATCATCTATAACTTCAAAATCCTATCCTTCATATGTAATTCAAGAATCATACTCAAATTTCAATATGTTCTAAATACCATTCTAACACTTCATATTCCTTAATTAGCATGATGACAAGTCAAATTTAACTTCAAATTCAACTTATCAACTCTTTTCCATGATTTCATATAAAAAATCGTTTTCTTAAATCTCTAACTTCTTCATCTTTTGTTTTAGAACAAATTAAGCTTTCCTTAAGCTTAATTATCATATGATCATAACCCAACTTTTAAAACAACAAATAACCAAGAAAATAGAAAACTCACCTTTGCTGTGGTTTTCTCTCGTATGGAAGAACAAAGAGAAGAAGAAGAGATATTCTTCTTATCCCTTTCCCTCGTATATATCCTCAACACAATACAATTTAATCATTTAATGGTTAAATGACCATTTTGCCCTTTAATTCTTTTAATAATTACTAACAATCCTTCCAGATAAATCATTGAATTATACAATTATTCTACTTAAATCACCAAATTATGAAGTTTTACAATTTAGTCACTAACCCGTATTTTGGGATGTTACAAATCTCTCCCCTTTAAGAAAATTCGTCCTCGAATTTTCATTGTACAAAGAGATGGGGATATTGAATCTTCATGTCCTCTTCACGTTCCCACGTCGCTTCTTCCACCTTGTGATTTCTCCACAACACTTTGACTAATGGAATAGTCTTGTTCCTTAATTGCTTGACTTCGTGACCCAATATTTGAACAGGTTCTTCCTCATAAGTCAAATCTGATTGAACTTCGATATCTTCGGTAGTCACAATATGAGATGGATCGGATCGATATTTCCTAAGCATGGAGACATGAAAGACGTTGTGGATTTTCTCCATTTCAGGTGGAAAAGCCAATTGATATGTCACTGGTCCTACTCTCTTAACGATTTCATATGGTCCAATAAACCGAGGACTCAATTTTCCTTTACGTCCAAATCTCAATACTTTCTTCCACGGAGACACTTTCAAGAACACTTTATCTCCGATTTGAAACTCAATTTCTTTCATTTTTAAATCAGCATATGATTTTTGTCTATCAACTACAGCTTTCAGATTATTCTGAATGACTTGAACTTTCTCTTCCGTATCCTGAATCAACTCAGGACCAATGACTTCTCGATCCTTAAGTTCATACCAGTTCAAGGGTGTACGTCATCTTCTTCCATATAAAGCTTTATATGGAGCCATTTTGATGCTTGACTGATAACTATTGTTATACGCAAATTCAGCAAGTGGCAAATATTTTTCCCACGATCCTTTAAATTCGATAACAAAAGCTCTTAACATATCCTCCAAAATTTGGATAATTCGATCAGACTGACCATCTGTCTGAGGATGAAACGATGTGCTAAAATTCAGTCTTGTGCCCAATGATCCATGTAAAGACTTCTAAAATCGTGACGTGAATCTAGGATCCCGATCAGAAACTATGGAAACAGGTACACCATGTAACCGTATAATCTCTCTGATATACAACTCAACATATTTTATCCATAGAGAAATCAGTTCGTACCAGAACTGTCTACAATCACCCATATTGAATCTCTTTTGTTTAGAGTTAAAGGCAACCCCGTCACAAAATCCATTGTTACATTCTCCCATTTCCATTGAGGAATTGAAATTGATTGTAACAGTCCCGACGGAACCTGATGCTCAGCCTTAACTTGCTGACAAATCAAACATTTTGATATAAATTTCGTAAT